TCAAATAACCTCACTCTCAAGCCTCCTCCTACAACAGGAGTTGTTAAGAAGAGAAAAGAAAAAACCTTTTTTCGACGGTAAAAATGAAAAATTTTGGGTGATGAAATATGTTGTCTGCTGTCCATGGTGAAATCTGTTGTCCAAGATGAAATCTGTGGTCTGCTGTCCGTAGCGAGAAACCTTTGATGAAATTTCGCTCTCCATTAATGGTTGTCTAGCTGTCCATGGTCGTGACTCGCCATTTCTAGGTCTCCATTGTGTCTCCAACCTTGTTCCAATCTGGGACCCAAAAATCAGGATCTGAAATTTTATACCCAAAATATGAAAATCTCAATCTAGCAACAAAAGAAATTGGTAAGAAAATGAAGAAATTGTAAAAGCATCTCGGTCGAAACCTCAAAATTAGAAAGAAAAAAAATTCCAATCAGCGGCGAGCTACTTACCTGCGGCAGTGCTCCCTCTCTCTCTTTGTCCGTCTCTCTCTCTCGCTACGGCGAAGTGCCGATCGGAATTGGACGGCGGAAGCCCCCTTCTTATTCGTCTCTCTCTCGCTACATCGGTGCTGATTGGAAATGGACGGCAGAAGCCCTCTTATTATTCGTTCTTATCCGAATGCGTGGTCCAAAACACCAGCGGCTACTGTAGCTCATCAAATGGGCGGGAATACTGTTCATAAACGTATATAGTTAGATTTAGGGAGACGCACTGATGGTAGGCCCCACACACCTGTGATTTTTCAAGTGTCGTGCGTGCTCCGCTTCTTCCCCAGTCCCCACCTTCTTCCGATTTCATCGTTAAACTGCGCCTCTCCGCCCAACCCGAAACATAAAAAGGCCAAGTGAATATATATGATATATTCTTCGTAAAGAACTTCAATTCACTCCAACTGTGTACAACGATTAACCCAATCAGGTGTGCGATTTCATTTCTTTTCACGTTTCTTCCCGGCCTCTTTCCTTTCACTATCTTGATAACAGTCCTCAGGTGGCTGAGTAAGTCCAAGCCAATCTTTCTCTGTGATTAAGATGCCATTCGTTTTTTCTTCATTTGGGCTGCCCGAAAGATTCAGTCTTGCGGCCTGATAATATGATTCTCTTTTCTCGCTTGTGTTGATTCTTGATGAATACCCATCTGGTGTATGTGACTTCTTGAGTTTTCTTGATCACTTTAACTCTCTGTTGATTCATGACTTATCTGCAGTTTGATTCTTAATTCTGTTAAGGTTCAACTTATACATTAATGTCACCAATCTGACTTTTTTTGTTTGTCTGTTGTGTTTATCTAGCTAAATCTGAATCTCATTCTTCATGCTTTTTGATGGCTTCACCCGAGAACATTAGTCAATGGTTATCCTCGGATGTTGAAACCTTTGACTGGCCTCCAATGTGTTGGAAGCCTAAAGTCCCGGAACTACCTCCTCCTCCTCCTCCTTCAAACCCAGGTTCAAGAGACAGAAACCATAGAACGGTCGCCGGTTCTTGTTTCATCCTTAATAAAGCAAAAGAGACATGGGACAAACTCTTCAAGGATGGGTTTGGAGCAGATGTACATATCATGACAGAGGATGGATCAATTATTCCAGCTCATTATAGTCTTCTGGTCAGTTATTGAATTTTTACAGTCTTTTGCTCATTATAGACCTTAATTACTACGGAACATTTTGGAACTTTGTTTTGATTCTGTTTGATAAAACAGTCCTAACTTCATGGCTGTTGTTCTTGATTGTTCGTCATCCTCAGTGTGCTGCTTCACCGGTATTGGGCAATTTCCTGAAGCAATGTGAGATGAACAATGGCATAAGATATAAAAAGGTCCCGGGCATGCCTTATGATGCTGTCCGCATCTTCATTCGTTTTCTTTATTCTGCCAGGTATGCTCCTTCGAACGTTTCTTCTTATATTAATGGCACAAGACTACTTTTTTTATATTTAAAAAGAAAAAATATAGCGAATTCTGTTTTCACAATGAATTTGTTTTCCCAAACTAGCTAGCTAAAGGAAATAATGATATGTTGTTTTAAGAGTGTGACTGTTAATTGACATTCTGTCGTGTTGCATTGCAATGCAGTTACGATGAAGCAGAGATGAAGAAATTTGCTCTTCATCTGTTAGTTTTATCACATTCCTACTCGGTGCCTTTACTTAAAAGACTATGCGAACATATTATAGAGCACGAATTGCTCAACTCAGAAAATGTTATAGACATGCTTCAGTTAGCAAGGAAGTGTGATGCGCCACGGCTCTCATTGATGTGTACCCGGATGGTTGTGATGGACCTCAAAACCATATCATTGACCGAGGGATGGAAGATGATGAGGCGTTCAAATCTGGCACTCGAACAAGAGCTTTTAGAGTTTGTAGTTGATGCAGATAGGGTAAGATATTCTTGCACTATTTCAAGTGTTCACCCATCACTTCTTGGTTGTGATTTTGTTTCCTTTAAAATAAAAATCCAATTTTTGAAGTGATGAAAAAGGGAGTTTTTTTCAGTGTTTGGCAGTTCTTTCACATAATGAAATAGAGAATCAAGTGACCCTAACGTAGCCTTGTATAAAATGACCAAAAGGGCGTGTTTGCTGCCTGCATTTGAACTTTAAAAATGGGTTATCTTGGGGTAATTAAAAATCAAGAATCGGTTTTACAGAAAGAAACATGTTTCCTTAGCCAGTTTTGGGTGCCTTATTTTACTTATTGCTTTGTTTCAAAGAGGAAGCAAGAGCGGGCGAAGAAGACTGAAGAGAAAAAGGTATATCTGCAACTGTACGAAGCCATGGAAGCTCTAGTTCATATTTGTAAGGATGGGTGTAGGACAATCGGGCCACGAGATAAGGTACTGAAAGGAGGCCAAGGTCCTTGTAACTACCTTCCTGCTTGCAAGGGACTAGAGACTCTGGTGCGCCATTTCTCTACTTGTAGGACCAGAGTCCCCGGTGGGTGTGTCCCCTGCAAACGGATGTGGCAACTTCTTGAACTCCATTCGCGCATGTGCAATCAACCTGATTCTTGCTGTGTTCCCCTTTGCAGGTTAGGATAGGATGGCCAAGTTTCTTTTCTTTTCTTTTTTATATAATACTCTATGTATTAATTGTTCCATTGTAGGCATTTTAAGCAGAAATTGGTGCAACAAACCAAGAAAGGGGATGCGAAATGGAAGGTATTAGTGAGCAAAGTGCGCGCAGCAAGGCTTGGACTCGGACCATTCTCATCTCGGGGTTCAGCTCTTTTGTGACCTCAAAAACTGTACATATATAAATGATGATGGTTGGATGGATGCTTCTTCTTCTTCTTCAATAAGAAATGGTCAAATATTTTGCAGACCAAATTGTAAGGTTATAGGATATACGGAGTATAATCTGTCATTAAAAGAAACTGTGTAAGGGATGCCTGCCATTATATAAGAAACATTTTAATGTCATACAGTGCCTTGCAAAATACCCATATGGTCATATATATGGGTGAATGTTTCCAAGTTGGCTTCTCTTGGTGAATTAAAAACTAAAAACTCATTACATACACTGCATTGAAATTTTTGCCTATCATAGAGCATGCAAAAAACAGAGTTTTAAATTGATGCATCCAAGGGAAACCCCAAATTTGACCGGTACAGCAGCTTGAACTATACAGTGGAAATCCAGCGAAAAACAAAGATTGCCAAAACTAGACAGTTGAGGAAGAGCTATCATCATCCGAAGACGAAGAAGTGTCTCTCTGTTTGTTGTTGTCCACATACTCTGGGAAAACCGGCACATTAAGGGGGGGCATTATGGGGAACTGTCGTCCAGAGCTGACTATGGTTCGTTCGTTTATCTTCCCAACATCTTTGCACACCTGATCAAGCACACACAGGAAGTCCTTAACCACCATGAAAACACGCAAGGGGCGAGCTTCTTCCTTGGCCAAGTCGCCGTGGAAGTACTCAGTCACTTCCTTCACCATGCACATGGCCACATCTTCTTGAGCTTGAATCTTTATGATCTCCACTTTGGCTTTCTTCAGAAACGCGTTCATCGAGTCTGAAAAACTCTTGTTTTTCCCTCCTTCGTTCAGTTTCACTACTTGGGTAATCTTGGAAACTCCATCAGCTAGCTTTGCAACTTCATTGATGAGGACATCCGAGTCCATACCAGCAGCTTTCTTGACATTGATTAGCTCTCCGCTCAGTCCAGAAACAACTTGAAGGCCAGCCTTTCTGAGCTCGACTTCCTCCTGTATGACGAATTGCTGCTTCTCTGCATCTGGTTTCAGACCAGAGAGACGAGAGCCTTCTGCTCTTACTATTTCCTGCACAACAAAATGCAGAAGTGTGGTTTTCCCATCGGTGCCCTTCACATCCGCAAGCTTTAATAGTGTGTCGAGTTTGAACGCACGGGCATCTCCTCGATTCGTTCCAACGTTCATGCGATTCCCAGTTTTTAGTACAGCTTCTAGAAGTTTCTTGAACATTCTGCTCTTCCTCAACTCTTGACATGCAACCTGTAATGATGAATAAGTTAGATATCCAGACAAGAAAGTTTGCAATTATTATCTATTCTTCCCAGAATTTCTTGAGTTTCTTTACTTTACACTAAAACCCTAAATCTAAGAATAAAAAAGAACTGTGTAAATACAATAGCTTGCATGCTTCATCGAACTTTCTCGCACCTGGAGGAGTAGACTTGTGATCGACAGTGCGTGAAATGGCTGTCGATTACAAGTCTACTCCTCCAGGTCCGAGAAAATTCAATGAAGCATGCAAGGTATGATATTTAGACACTCTATTTATTCTTAGGTTTGGGTTTTGAGAGTGGTTCAGAAAAGTGATTTTCAACCCATTGTATATAACAAACGGTGGCACCGGAATCTATCCGAATCATTTTCCTTCTTTGGGACGGTCCATCATCGCTCAATACCGAATCAAGAAGTCTTTGCATCATAATATTGAAGTTGGCTAAAACACCCAATGCATGATGATAAGGAAGATGATGATGATGATGCAGCTAACCTCAAGTGTCTCAAATGATCTCTTAAGGTACTCAACATCAGAATCAAAATTGGCGATGTAAAGCATGGCATCCACCCTTCTAAATGCAAATGGTATGTCAAGAACTGCCTTGAGAAACTTTTCCGCAGAGCATAGTTTGGAGGGCGATTCATCTTTAAACTCCATTAGCTTACGTTCTTCTTCCTTGGTCGGGGCCATCTTCAATAAGCTCTCAAGTAATTCTGCTCCCAAGCTGTCTGCATTTCCTGCTCGCCGCCATTGTTGAGAAACAAAAAAAGACAGGTTAAACATTCTAAAAAAAATGAACCACTTTTTTTGATTTCTTGATCATTAGAACTCAAAAAGACACCGGCTTTACCTTCAACAAGAGCTTCACAAACTTCCTCAACTGTAATGTAAAGTGCCCTTAACAAAATCGCAATGTTCTGAGACTTCTTTGGATCAAGCACTCTGTTTTCCTGCACAGACGTGTGCTTTGGGTAGGGATTTGATGATGGATTGACTATGAACAATGACTCGATCATATCTTCATTTAACCTGAAAACAAAACCGCATCCGAGGAACAACATTAAAACCCTAACGCAATGGGGGAAACAAGATCAAACTGCAAGATTTGACGAATTTTAGTTTCTTACTGGAAAGAGTTGCTGGAAGATTTCAGTTGATCCCAAACCATGACTCTATCGGAGCTGGACTTGACTTTATCCCAATGCAAAGGCTTTAGCTTGGGCTTCGGCGCGTCTTCATTCACATTCTTGCTTACTACTGGTCTCGATGGCGCGACGAGCACAGGTGGTCCCCCCATCTCCGTCACCGGAGGCTCCAATTTTCTTGGTGGAGGCGGTGGAGGTGGTGGTGTGGGGACTCTGACTGAGTCATGCCACCTGGAATCGGCTAGTTGGGTCTCTGAAACCTGCGCGGAGGAATCTGAAGCTCTACTTGTGGAATTATGGGTGTCGCCGGAAGAAAGAGAAGCCACCGGAACTGTTGGTGGTGGATTCATTATAAGGCGCGGGGCCGGAAAGTGTGCCAGTGAATCTGGCGATTTGGATCTCAAGCTTCTAGGGCTCAAGTTCAACTCCATGGTCAGGGTGGGACTAGCCGACAGAGAAGCCGTAGGAGAGCTTGAATTCGAAAAGGGAAAGCTAGTCGGAACTTGGACCGGTACATTGGAAGCTCGCCGGGAGCCGGAACTGTTGCGGTTGGGGCTATTTCCGGGAGAGAAGAATTCATCCTCGTCATCTACCTCGCCTGATTTCCTGTGAGTCTGTAGGAAGTGTGGGCGCGGAAGCGGAGGAAGTGGGCGGAGCTCCGGCGAACCCGGCAACTGGCCGTTCGACGGGACCACGCTGACGGGTGTCGTAGATGGTTGATTTTGGGCGGCGCCTTCGTTCAATTCCCGCGAGCTAAAGAGTGTGCCGAGGTAAAGAAACTCGGAGCTAGTGGAGGCGGCGTTGGGTTGGTAGCGAGGCAGCAGCGGCGGAGGCGGAGGTGGCGATTTCTTCTTGGCATCTCCCAAAACTGCGTCGGAGAGAGTGGTATTGGGCGGTACGAGGCGGAGGTTGTCGGTTCTGTGGCGGCTGTAGGTTTTGTCGCGGTCGCGATGATTGAGGAGAAAAGCGGCCAGCGAAGTGAGAAGGGCGACGAAGACAAGAGCGACGGCGACGATAAGAGCTATGAGTTTCCGGGAGATGGGTCTACCCGAGTTTGAGGAAGAAGACCGAGGAAGAACAAGGGAAGAAATGTTGGCCGGAAACGAAGGGGTTCCGGCGTCTTCCGGCGGCGGTGGAGTGGAGATTGTCGGAAAAAAAGGGACAGGTTGCAACGGCGTGCCAGGCGGCGACTGCGACGAAAAAGGGTACTTGGGGTGACCATGATGTAGCCGAGGCTGCCGTAGGGGAGGAGACGCAGACGCGGAGGGAGGCTGCGAGATACTGTCGGCGGAGGGGGCGGGAAGCGGCGCCGGAGTCGCCGCCGAATCAAGTGGGTACGAGAGAGGCTGGTGGAGGACCCGCCGGTGAAGGCGAGCGGCGGCGGCGGAAGGAGTGAGGGTGCAGCACAGTAGCAGCACTACTAAACCGCCAGCGGAAACAGGGGAGGAAAAGGGCATCATGGTGAGTGGAGATATATGAAGGTTCATTAATGGCGACCCAAGAAGTTCATAGCCATTGGAGGGAGAGAGGGGGAAAGGGGAAGAAATTCAAACAAGAAAACAAAAAGGGAAATGCTTTTCCGGTCTCCTCCTCCACCTCCACCATTGAAAAGCTTTTTACTCCGTCGTACGCTTGTAAAAAGCAAAGTCATCAAAAGGAGGAAATGCAAGGGTAACTTTTAGGAATGAAAAAATCAAATAACAAATCCGAATATTTCAAATTTACAACCTTGCCCCCTACAACTTTGAATCTTTCATCATCATTTACAATCCCGTGAAATAAATGTGAATCCATGTATGCAGACTTTTCTAAAAGACCGACCTCAAACAGTAGTACCCATTGTTAACAAAAACGCCAAAAAAATATTACGGAGTAGCATTAAAAAAATGTACTAGGGAGTAATAATTTGGGCACCTTTGTGTCATTGAAATAAAATAATATAGTCTTATTACTATTATTTTTGTAAAATTTTTCATGTATTTTTTAGGACATAAATTTTATTTTTACAATTAAATAAATTAAATTGAAAATATTTAAATTTTTTTCTTTCGTTCAACTTTCACTTTCTTTCCTCTCACATTAACCTTGGCTTCTTTACTTGGAAGGTACCCTAACTCTAAGGATTGTATATAAAATGTACCTCATCTTCAACTTATAATAAAAAGGTACTTAATCTTTAAAAAATGTAACAAATGATACCCATTTATCGGGCGCATTCTCAATTTTCCGGCAAGAGGTACTCCTTTGTTACATTTAGCAAAGATATAGCACCTTTTTATTACAAGTTAAAGATGGAGTGACATTTTGTTACAATCATCAAAGTTGGGGTACCTTCCAAGTAAAAAAAACCCAGTTATCTTTAACAAACCCAAATTACGTTACCAGAACACCTCAAATAATCTCTTCGTCCCAAATTATTATTCACAAAGTCAAATTTTATTCACTTCTTTTTAATTTCTATCTTCGTTGGTCATGTCATAAAATAATATATCTATGTCACAACTAGTTTTGTAAATGTTTTAGTATTGTTTTTAGCCCAAATAGCACTAGCAACTCTGTGATTAGAAAATAGGCATCCACACCACCTCTTTTTTAAAAAATTATTTCTAAAGTCCTTGTGATTTCAAAATGTTACACTCATACCCTTCTAATCATTTTCTGGCGAAGAAGATGACATTAGTGCCTATTCCAATTCATATGGGGGACGCCTCCAAAAAAACTTGCCGAGGAAAAAATCCATGAGGATGAAAAAAAAAGTCCTCGATCAAGAAAAGAATACATCTTGTCCCACAATGTGAATCAAGAAAAACATTGTAAGGGTGTGAGGTCTTCGAGTAATGAAAACTGGGTAATTCTAAGAAGAGCTGATTTCTAAGTCCCTTAGACTCATTGGCCTGAGTCGAGTACTGTTCATCATAATTTATTGCCAGTGAGTGCATGTCGACACGAATTGCTGCATTGCAATGTAACTGTGTAAGGTCGAGATATTGATCTGCAAGGCTCACATATATAATGTGAGAAGTAACAATCACAAGCCGAGCACCCGGAGTTCCCCACTCCCTAAATCGAGAAAAAGTTCCGATGTGAAGGGTAGTAGTGTCCATGCTCGGCTTCGGTGAGAGTCTCTTGTCCCCTTGTTCTGCTACGACTTCTGATCTCTTCACAGATTGTCTTATTTTGGGAAGGAATTGAGGAGCGCCTTGGGAAGATGAGGGCTTGAGTGCCTCGTGGGGTGGCTGAGGCCGAGCTTAGGTGATCTCGGAAGACGACGGCTTGAGTGCCTCGTGAGGTAGTTGAGGCCGAGCTTGACTGCCTCACGAAGTGGATAAGGCCGAGCTTAGGTGATCACAGAAGATAAGTGGTTGAGTATCTGGTGGTGAGGTGGCTTAGATGAAACTTAGTGTGGAAGTGAACCTTTTACCAAAAAGACATAAAAATCCGTCTCGAGCGAGCGCCGTCAGACAGGCGAGGCGCGGACCCCTAAAAATAAAAGATCTCAATTCGCTGTCGTTTTACCCACCGCTTGCCACTCCTTTTTTTTTTCTTTCGGTTTTTTCTCACGGCGCTGCGCAATTCACGGGTTCACCTACCTACCCCACCATTCCTTACTGCCAGACTCCCTTCATATGCCACTGTAAGATTATACGGAGTAGTCTTTGTTTGGATATGGCTGACTCCATCACACCATGTATTGTGTATTGACTCACACTCCCAAGATTATACTCCGTAAGTAATTATCTATAAAAATGATTTGACAAGTTCAGTTTTTTCATAAGTGGTTGTATATTAAAATAATTTTTCCCAACTAATACTACTTAGATAAATCTATACAACAATGGAATACTAAAAGGAGTGTAAAAGCATTTCATTTTTGTGAAACATCCAACTTGAAAGGCTACTCTTCCTATTTTTTCATATTTTGAATTTTTTGAACTTCAAGTGTTAACTCTAAAAGTCAACTACCAAACATTTCATTTTTAGTTATACTGGATTCATATCTGTGCTATGCGCGGCAGAATGTTTAACCAAATTAATATTATAATCAATTTCATCCAGGAAAACAATTTTATAAAAAAGAATTAATAAATTTAAGTAAAGAGAGAAGGTAAATATAAGTAATACAGAGTACATCGAGAAAGCATATCATTTCATAGAATTGAATCCCAAACCTTGACTAATAAAAGATTTGATTATAAGGCTTTGTTTAAAAGGAAGGAAGTTCATCCGGAAACAAAATGATTATATGTCAAATTTCGAAACCACCATCTTATATGATTTGAGTTTCAAAACATTTAGCGAGGAGAAGGTGTTTGAATTGGAGTGAAGAATTCTCATCTTGAAGACCAAAGAGTAAGGGGAGAGTATACTATTACCCTTTTTTCGATGGATTGGACCAAGGTTGGATTTTCATGAACGGAAACAAAAATATTATACTCCGTATAAAATTTATTTTAAGAATAAAAGCTACTAGATAAACCTAGAGGATCATACATGTAGAGAAGACAAAAAATAGGCGCTCATAGAAATCTCCCACACTGAAAAGATATTTGTGTAAGTACTTTATTGAAGAAAGTCCAACAAAATTCAGAGAGTCTATAGACTCTTAAATACTTCAAGAATGAATACTTCAAGATTTTTAAAGATTTCTGAAAATCTCTATTTGAACATTTCAAAAATTTTAAAGAATTTTGAAAATCTAGATTGAATACTTTTAGATTCTAAAAGTCTAACAAAATCCTACGACTTCCAATTACTTATAAGACTCCTCCACAGATTTGAAGACTCTAACCTCCCATAAGAACAATGTCATAAAAGCGATGAATTAACATTAATCAAGTAAAAACGTACAAAGTACTTATTATGAACAACATTAGAATATTCATTTATAATGTTAACTATAAGGTTGAATTTTCATTACTACTACCGCCATCATCATTGCCACTACCACCAACCATTCATAGTTCAAGTTTCAAGATCATTCAATCTTATTCATATAGTCTGTACCATAAAGTTAGGGGTACATCAAAATAGTGTATTCTATTTGAATGTCAGACTAACACAAATAACACAATCACAATCTATTTATGACCTAGAGACACATAGTATCTGTGTTTGTCTGATTTACAAATGAAATACACCATATTAGTGTACTCCTGACATAACCTAATTAGTATAGCAATTCTGATTTATTTACCAAATAGACCATTAAGTCTTAATTTTAATTTTTAAAGATGTGGAAAACCTAGTGCGAGATAAATTGACAATTCATTACAAATATAGGGGCACAAATGGTTTAACGGAAGTAGATCCCCGCTCCGCCCCGCCCGCCCCCCCAATCACCTCCACCCGGTTAAGCAGCTCCAAAGGATTCTGCCATCCAAGGCCACGACTTCCAGATTCAACAGAGCCCCCTTTTTCACGAACGCTCTCAGATCCCAAACCTATAAATCCCCAATCTTTTCCCCTAATTAGTATTGGAAAAAGAGGGAGAGGAAATGGGGAAAAATCAAGCTTACAAAGCGATGCAGAGAGCGCGGGTAGGCTCTAGCTCGGCCGGCCCCGATGAGGTCGAAGACGGCATGGTTCGTACTCTTCCGTACTAGTTTTTTTTTTTTTTGCAATTTTTAACATTCATTCTTGAATTTTTTGCGGCGACTTGTTTTAATTGCGTGATTCATTGAGTATTGGCAATGCTAAAGATGTAAATTTGCACTGAAGTCTTACATTGTTAGCACGTAACGTTTCATTTCGTTTATTTTCGTAGTTGGTTATCACAGAGGGGTGTTAAGGTGGAGGTGATGATGATTTCTGATGACGAATAAGTATTTCAATAGAAAATAGTTCTTTTGGTGAATGGTAATGCTTGTTTTATCCGAAAATGTTAATATCAAGATTCTTTTTCGGGTTGTACGTATTAAAAACAGTATGCACTCATGTAAGAGTGCCTATTTAGAGCACCCAACTTGAAAAAACAACCACAGTACATAGTGTGTGTGTGTGTGTATGCATCTATCATGTTTATATGATTGTTTGCTCTGGCATAGCCGAGATTGTCTTTCCCGTGCTACGTCTGATGAGGCCAGTCGCAGGTGGATGGTTCTTTTCATACACCAGAGTGGCATGCTGCTCGTTTGGCAAGCCTCAAAACTTCTCACACCGTCACCTGGGAAGAATTCAAAAGGAAGCAAAAGGTAAATTGTTAGGCAAGTTTTTTTCCACATGAAGTCTTGCATATATATTGAAGTGAATCCCAAGCAATGTTCATGGGAAATTTGTTAAATACTCTGAATGACAACGGGTTAAAGATGTTCTTATTAAGTGGAGTGGCTTCAAATATTAGTCTTGTTTGTATGTTAAGCTTCTTGTTTGCTCATTCCAAATGCACTTCACTGTTGCAAAAACTGACTACTGTAATCCCATTTTCTGAGTTCTGAATTTTTGAATGCATAATGTATTTTGAAATACTTGTAGCTGCTACCTTGAGAAATATATCCTAAATCATTATCATATGAACAATGTTTTATATTGTAATAAGAGCTGCTTGAGTGGCTTAAGACCTCACGTTTCAAATAGGATGTATTGAGAACAATGGAGAACCTTGACATTTCATTAGCAGTTCTTTTTCATCGTCTTTGCTTGTGTGGCTAGAGTATAAAAGAAAACAACTCAAACTCTTTCAAATTGATGGATTCTGCCCATTGCATGAATATAATTTTTCTAGAGATGCATATGCATGCATTCATGAGGAATGACTCAAGATTTAAGAATACTATGTAAGGGGGTTCATACTAAGCTTTTCACTTATTTTGATGGTTGACTAATGTATTACAGAATATCTATCTCACTATCTAAAGGTGTTTTATGCATACTTGTTTCCTGGTTTTGATGATGTTTTATACTCCCTCCGTCCAAAAATAATAATCAGCTACTGTTCTGGCCTTCTAATGGCTTTTGTGTGTTTTCATTGATTATTTGAGAAAATAAAATATTCTTGTCACATCTTGTTATACTCCCTCCATCCCAATTTAAGTTGCATGTTTATTATTCACTTTTGATGTATCTTGTAACTATATGAACTTATTTTTTAATTTCATATAAATTTTCAAATAAATTAAATTAAAAATAACTTCAGTCAGACCTCGTAAACAACAATAGACAATTTAAATTGGGATGAAGGGAGTAGAACTTTTTGATGTAGTTTTTTAAATTCATACTAATTATTTCTTTTCCAATTTGTACATAAACTAATTTTAAAAGAGATTAGATTGTGCACGTTGCTCAAAGTGAGAGAATTTTTCTGGGTTGGAGGGAGTAATTGTTAGTCACACATTAGAACTTTGAAGAGAAAATAATGAGTTTATAAGCTCATCAAAACTAAGTAATTGATTGGATTCAATCTTTTAAAGTAATTCAACCCAAGTATCTTATGGCCTAGTATAATGACCCCTAACTCGTCCTAAATTTTATCAATAATTCTTAGTGCAAGTGCATTTTTTTGGATACTTATGATGCGATTCTGCTAGGAAGAAGAAATCAAGAAGGGAGAGATAGAAGCTGATAAAGATAAGATGATGAAGGAATATCGGGCCCAGTTGGATGCTGAGAGGGCCGTCAAGCTTGCTAAAGGAAGAAACCACTCAAACAACAAACATAGTCACAAAAAAGGTAGTGTGGTGGTATTCCTTATTGGAGTAATAATGATTAATAATTGATTTTTGATAGCAATAATATATACTCCGTATGTCTTGTAGATAAGAAGGACAAAGACTCAAAAAAACACAGAAGCAAAAAGAGAAAGGTGAATACCGATCTACTATTTGTTGGTATTTTCTCTCTTAGTCTAAATATTTAGTTAAGCTCTAATTTGAATGAAATATGGACTAAGATGTTTTACCTTCACGGCTTCATCTAGAACCAATTGCATTTATCAAAGGCGTGCATTTTTCATTGGATCATTATTTACCACAAATCATGATGGGACAACAAGTTCCTAAGCTACCCTTATTATGTGCTTATGTAGCTTCCAGATTGTCTGCTGTTTTGCTTTATCGTTCTTGTTATCAAATTTTCTATGCCCGTCTATCCTCAAGTGAGTATAGTTAAAGAGTCGTGCAACTTGATTGTACCATCATTTTCATCATGGGCAACACTTTGATTCCATTTTATTGGGGTCTTCACTGACAACAAATTTAAATGCTTGTTGAACAAGCTTTTTGTAAAATATTGCCACACGCTTTTTTATATGAATTTTTAAATTAATTTTATACAATCACTTCGAACTCTAACTCTTTTTGTTATTTCCACATGCATGGAAATATTTTGAGACGACAATGAGTTGAGATAGTTGCTTGATTTGTTTGATGTGGTCCGTTATTTAAACAAAGCTAAAGGATTATCACATGAGGTTCTCCATTTAAACAAAGCTAAAGGATTATTAACAAAGATAGTTGCTTGATTTGTTAGATTTATAGCACATGAATTGAGGCTATTTTGAACTTAGTATTGATTTACTCACTCACATTATCAACTTTTAGATTATGTTGCTCTCTGTTAGACACGGGTCAATAGCTATTTTTCTTGTATATTCTTGATGGTATTTTTTCTGCTACATAATGAGCTTGATAAGAACGATACTGCTGTGGATTTCCAAAATAAATGATGCTCTTCAACTTAGTCTTAGTGGTTCTTTGGTAGCCATGTTCATCATCTTATCTGCCTGATATATTATACCAAACACTGATCATATGAGTGCACATTGACTTGGATAGTAATGACAGTAGGGCTAGAAGTACTTTTTATGGCTGAAGTTGCTACATATGATCATTTTAACGTTGATTTTCACATAGTTTTTCAACATTTTTTCTTATCAGTAAAGTGTAATTTAAACATATAATTCTCCAGAAACCAGCAATTTCAACTTCATCAATATCAACCACAGTTTCAATAATATCAGCCAAATTCACCCTTCCCAAAAGAGCTTTAAATAAATCCCTAATACTAAATGTTTGCATAGTTATATTTCTGTTATAGTCATCTGTTGGGGTCTTTATCATCTTAGTGTTCTGCAATTATCATTAGTCATCATTATATGTTCCCATGATTAGTGACAATTTTGGAGTCTGCCACTACACGTGTGTGTTTTAATATGGTCACAAAATTTCATGCCACCCGCTACGACATAATATGGATTAAGGTGCTGATGTTCTGTTTTTGTTGTGAAATGTGACTATTAATGATCATCATTCATCACATGTCTCTCAACTTTTCTGACATTTGCTCCCTAATCCAGAGATATAAGAGATCATCCGACTACAGTTCTTCAAGTTCTTCATCAGAATCAAGTTCAAGCAGTAGTGATGATGAAGAGAGGGACTCGAGGAGAAGCAAATCAAAGTCAAAGAGAAAGAAGAAAGAAAAGAAACGACGGTCGAGATCAAAAGATCGCAATGCCGAAGAGGAAGAGACCGAAGGGCCTCTGCCACTGTCTAGATTCTTTGGGAGCGTCAAAAGCTGATGATACTTTCTTTCCCATGAGAGATGAACTTATCTTAAGCTACTTCTGCAACAGTGGATCTGGCAAAAGACCTTTCCTTCTTCTTCTTCTTCTTCCCCATTTATGGGTTCAACTCAATCTTCTGTACCATTTATAAGATGATGGTGTGCCTGACATTAGTGGTGTTCTGTCTCTCTCCCATCCAGTTTTTTCGTGTTTTTTTTAATTTAAAAATATCTCACTGTTACAAGAAGAGGCAAATATGGAATTATGTATTTGTCTATTCTTCTGTGATGTGAACGATGTAAAATGAATGGTGTTCAGGAATTTCATGGATGTGTGGTTTTGGACTTTTTTACGGACCACCCTAAAATATTTGGACATTACATAAAAAAAACATTTGTACCAAAGAGGGATTATGAAATCTTTATATCTTATCAGTATTTTTTGGGACAAGAAACATGTACTCCGGTATAATTCTCATATTTAAGGCGAGGACAAAAATAATACTCCTTTTCAATTTATTTTATCTAAAAATTGGTATAAAATTAAAAAATAAAATTTATATATTTAAAAACTGCTTTATTATTTATATTACTGGCTTCACCCATCCCACTAACAACTAACAAGTGATTAATGGATGGGTGATGTATGTAACTGATGATGGGATAGATTGTGATTATGTAAGTGGTGTGGATGGATGGATGGGGCTCGATTGGCTTGAAGATGGAGGCCACGTCATATTCTCTCTAGTCGACCACATTTCTGAACTCTCAATAACATCCCAATCAGAAAACACCCATTTCAATTTTCAATAGTCGCGTTGGAGACGATGGGTTCTTGTGCAGAGCAGTAGCATTCAATTCCCAAGTGCTGCTCATTTGAAGAATTGCTTTGAAATGTTTCTCCTGTGTTCTTCAACCGCTTGTTCCTCTTTCCAGTCCCACTCCCAGGTTATTCAAACGATCAACGCTCTTGTTAGTTTCTTGATCACTTCTCCTTTTCATGCTTAGCCAAATTTACAAGTTCCAATTTCATTTCTTTTTATTAAAAAAATATACTACAATTTCTTTGTTTTCTTGATCACAATGTATCAATTTGGGTTTGGCCCAATTCCAAATTCCACAGCTTGCCAAACAAGGGAATTAGGTTAATTTCAGATTTACAGATGAAATGCAACCATCCAAACAGGCCATTATGAATACATGTGTGCAAATCCTATCCCAATAGCATACAAATCTATGCACAGGATATGATATGGACTTCCACATTCCTTAGCTCATTTTTTTCTGATAGATATGGGTATGTATGAGTATAGTGTTTGATTCTGCAGATTTCTGCCATTTGGAAGACTTGTGATTGGTCTTATGGATTTCAACTTCGAAGTTCATCCTTCCACAAAGGACACCTCTCCGCATTTCCGTGCTTGAGTTTTGCAGAAAAATGCAGCAGATTGGGTCCCCCAAATGCTGTCAAAACTTCATATCACCAGAATGGATTAAACAATACTATCAATTCTAGTGTAGTAACCGTGGGTGATTATCAGCATGCTGGTCCAAGGAATCTGAAATATGTGGAGAACGCACAAACATCGTTGAACAATTCATTGGATACAATAATACAGCCAGTGAATTCTGCTATCAAAGGTGGTTTTGAGAGAGTTGATGATGCTTTTCGTGAGATGTCATTAACATTGGACAAAACTGGTGAATTAGCTATGGATGGATTATCTGGTTTCTCTGGTGTTTTAAAGGATGCCACAAGCAATTTGGGGATTGTTGCTATTGATATGTTCAGGCGTACAATTGTTGTTTCTGAGGATGCTTTATCTAAAACGGCAACATCAATTGTATATGTTTATGGGTTAGTGAAGGACTTGCTTCCCTTAGAAGTACAGCATTTCCTCACTTTTTCAGAAGAGAAGATGCACATATTTTTTAGTCCGGTTGGTATGGTTTTTCATCAGGTATAGTAATCTTTTACTTTTTGTAAGCTGCCATACGGTTTGCATAATTTTGACTTCTATGTTTTTAAGAAGCAATTAGCCCATTGCATCCTCATTTAACAAACAAGCACCAAAAAACCTAGTATGGTCCTATTTAGAGTTTATTAAACAACACATTTCTGTAGACATGATCAATTATTTAGAACACAACCCGTTATTTAGAACATACAGTTGGCGCGAAAAGGTACTAAGGGAAATGGTTTTACAATGCCTGGTTTTTGTCCCATGGAAACCCTCCACTCTTTGGAAAAATGTTAGGAGAAGGCTGCATACATATATGGTGCCTCCTCCTCTCCCCCNGAAATCTGAAATCCTGTGGCACAACACACACTGGGGCTGACCCTTAATATTTGGTTTTGCCTTGGTAAATTAAAGAAATAAAAATTAACTGATGTTTTTATTTTTTTTTACATGTATTTAGATTTTTTGATTTTAATATAATAGAAGAATAGAAATGAAGCAATTTTAACAGATATCCATGGATCCTTTGACTCTGAACCTATTTTTTATTATCCTTCACATTTTCTTTCTATAAAAAATTTCCCCAAATTTCCTTCCATATTTTCTTGCTATTTTTCAGGTTCCAAACAGGAATGTAAGGGTATGTTTGGATTCTGTCAAACACTAGGGAAAAGGAAAACATAAATTTAACAAATACTCCGTAAAACAAGATTGAACACATATCTCAAGTAAAAGAACTTGGTTTGAGCCTATATTTTGTTTTTTATTACAAATTTTCTTTCCTTTCAAGTTTCCTATACTCTTCTGTATTTTCTATCCATATTATTTTCGAGTGCCAAGCAGAGTCTCTAATCATCCACCTATTATGGGAAAGCTAATAATAAGATTGCAGGCTTATGTTTTTTTGGAGTCTTTGGAAACTATTATTGGCTTGGACCCCGATGATCCAATTGTCCCCGTTGTGCTTTTCCTTGGAGCGTCAACCACTTTATGGTATGCCCTCTTGTTGCTAATAGTTTTTTCTTTTTCCTTTTTTCCAGCATCATGGGATGCTTTTTCTTTTCATATTTGAATGATCTTTTTCTCTAACAACTACATTCATTGATTTTTTCCCTAGCAATTATATTAATCATATTGTTCATGTAGGGGAACATATTTGGTACTAAAACATGGAGGATATGCTGGAGATTTATCTCCCAAGTCTTCATTTCAGCTTTTAGTAGGAAAAGAGAATGCTGTACTTATTGATGTCCGGCCCGAGGCAAGAGATTTTAAAATTTCCTATTCTTACTTGCAAATTTCTTGTGAAAATTGTTTGTGAAAAACGTAATAACATTAGATAGTTTGAGGCACGAAAAGGATCTCTCCTCATATAATTTACTCGTATATGTTTGTGAGTTACTCTACCCAATGCCAATTGGTTTTGGGTTGGAAGTTGGAACCTCATTTGAGCTTATCTTAATGTCTCGTTTGTTCAAGGCACTTTTAAAATCAAATTTAATTTGTGAAAATTTGTAATAAGATTTCACATTTTGAGACAGGAAAAGAGTATATTATCTTATGCTGGTAGTAATTTTTTTGCATTCTTTTTATCGTCTTTAATTTTTTTTGAAGGACCTCAGAGGCTCAGAAAAAGAGATGGAATTCCTGACCTTAGACGAGCTGCTCGGTTTCGGTATGCCAGCATCACACTACCCGAAGTAGGCCAATGCCCAACACTGTCCTAGGGATTGCCACTTGTTGATCCCGATAAGTTTTATCATGTTGACTTTCTTTTTAAATAAATAAAACTTCCAGGTTGATGAATCATTAAAGAAGTTATTAAAGAGTTGGAGAGACCTTGAAATCACCCTGCTTGCTGCTATCATTCGTGACTTGAAGATTGTTCAAGTAATGTGTTATGTTTTTACTTGTCATGCTGTTTCCGTGTAGAAACTTATGACATGTTCCTTTTAATTTGCCCCTACCCTCTACTCCCCCCCCCTGAGATAGTTCTGACTTCTGAGTTCTTAACCTTTTTAAAATTTCAATCAGGGGAACTTTTATTAGAGAACTAACATATATGTAGGATTTGGTATGATATTCAAAGCTCATCCCGTAACATTTTTAGCTTGGTGAAGTAGTTTCAAAAAAAGTTCATACCTTGTTCTATTGAATATATTTCCTCAAGTAGATCTGAAACTCTATTGTGGTCACATTGGTCAAACCTTTCATTTAGATCTCCCCACATGTCTGATGCCAAGTTGGTCCATACGATACTCTGTGCAATGTGAGGTGATACGACCCTCACAATCCATGAGCAGACCATCTTTTTACACCCATGCCAAACATTGTAGCTCTGATCAGTCACTGTCCCCCAAGGCATACCTTGTTCTTTACTGTAAGTGCCATTAATCAAAATTGGTAGTTTACACCAATCAGTGGTGGATTCACCAATACTGCACTAGGATTCTCATTCAAAGGCAGATTGTAAGGGTTGTTGGCATCTTTTGTTCTAAGGTTCCGTGCAGCACAATTGACATCATTGCTTAACTCTCAGTCTACCTCATCATCTTAGTAAATGTATCTAAAATACTGCTCGCTTATACAATTGACCTATCAGATTAAATATTTCAGTTCACATATATCACGGAGCAGTTATGCCAATGCTCTAAATCGTAAAGGGCACATTGTAATTTTATTCTCTATAAACTAATGTAGAGAAAACCAGGTAGTGGAATACCAATTAATCATGAAAAAAAAAAAACAGTTTCACTCCATTTAGTAGCCAGTTTTATAAGAAGCATAACTAGCATTTCACCTAGTTATTTGATTGAAATGACTGTTGCCAAATGCTTTTTTTATTAGAAATTTCAGTCAGATAACCATTACCAAGTGGTCCCTTAAGGTATATAGTTGGCCAATAACTCAATATGAATGCCAGAGGATTGGTAGTAGAGATCCTTACCTCTTGTCCCGTTTGATATGTGGTCACTCTTTATATTGGCCGCCATTCTATATTAACAGGATGAGACCATGGTTATAGTTATGGATGATGATGGTGCACGTTCCAAGGGCATTGCACGTTCATTGAGGAAACTTGGACTCAAGGTTAAGTACAATTTGAATCCCCACGCCCCCACCTCCCCTATCTCTTTTTGTTATGAGAAGCAATTAATAATGTTGTATTTGCTAGATAATCTTTTATTATATTGGGGACAAACAGCATTGTCAATTTTCTGTGACTAGCGGCATTAAACAATAAGACTAGTTGAACATTGATAAAGGAACCAGAATCTTGATTGCTTGGTTGCATTTACTTACCAGGGGAAAGAATAATTCTGAATTAGAGAATTCGTTTTTCTTTTTCAATAGAAGTTTTATGAAATTCTCCACAAGACAGTTTAGTGTTTTGAAGTTTGACATGGCTTTACATGACAGAAGCCATACGCGATGCAAGGCGGGTTTCGCTCATGGATAAACGAGGGTCTTCGTATTAAAGAACTAAAGCCTGAGACACCTCTTAGCATCATCAATGAGGTATATTACTCCTGTTCTTTGGTTTTTCTGGGAAATTTCATTTTTATAAACAATTTTTTTAAAAACCATGCATGGATATGTAACGGTATAAGGGCTGCTTATATTTTCTTAAAAACCATTGGATGTAATTCTTCGAATTTCATTTTTTAATACAAAGGTTGATCCATTGGACACTGTCGACAGGAAGTTGAGGCAATCATTGAGGAAATCAACCCAACCCCATTGAAACTTCTTGGATTTGGAATGGTATTAAGGGCTGCTTTTTCGTAGTTGTGCATTTTTTTTCTCCTTATTGAAATAATTCTCTCCTTTTCAGGGTTTTATAGCACTTGTGTATGCGTTACTCGGTGAGTATTCATTGTCAATTGTCGTGCATGGACCATGGCAGCTATTGTCTATTGAAGTGATATACCAGGAAAAAAATGACAACACTGGTAAAAGCTATAGCATTAAACCAACAAGTGTCTTGACCAAATGGGTATTGTTTTGTTGCAGAGTGGGAGAAGACACTGCAACTGATTGGTTTCCTTGGTCTTCTTCTGGTGAATATCTTCTTTTAGAAATTCTCCCCAGTTTTGTGTTCTTGTTGCTCTCTTACAATTTTATTTGGTTGCTATCATCAAACAGACTATATATCTGCGACTTTCGTCCTACGAGGATTCAGAAGATATTATACAGGATGTTAGGTAATGCAAATTGCCATTATGAATTTCTTCAACTGTTTTGACCACATCACACTCTTCTTCGTTCGGTAGGATCTACACTTGTTTTAGGGTCATGCTACAGTCACACCACAAATGACATCGCCAGTGGTTTCACAAACAGTGATTTTCTCACTGCGATTGCCTCTGGTGGTGCCAACATTGATGTCATCCGTGATGTTGAAGTATTATTTCGTTTGTTTTACAACCGTATTATATGTTGTTCAGGCTGCTGCTGGGCCCATTTAGATTGGGAGGACGGGCGATTTCTTGGGCAATCGGGAAGTTTAACAGGAGTAGTAATGGGCTGCCCACTTTACCGCCATGTTCAAGCGATGTGCATAGCAGGGTGTTGCAAGCTGCTGCCAAGCACGAGTCCCAACCATCGGAAGATCCATCCTCTGCAACAATGGCTTCTCCCAATGGAAGTGTGGATCTCCCAGAAGCATAATATATTTTGTTCGTTTGTAAAGGGAACTCTGGTTTTGGTATATAAAGCAATAATTATATAATGTACCCCAAGACTTCCCTTACCTTTTCTTTTGGTGTTGCAAGCTGCTGCCAAGTAAGGGAAAACATGTTACAAGTATGGGTAAAAATTGGAGTAAAATTCTTTGACACGATTTTAGCTGAAATCTTATGCTCTTATAGTTTTTAAAAATTGAATTATTTTTTTAAGTTATTTTTTGTTTCATTTGTAAAATTTAGTTGCTAGATTTAATAGTTATTTTGTTGTTGCATCATTAAAAAAGTTGTAATATCAAACTTTTTTTTTTACAAAAAAATTGATTTACTTTGTTAAAAGAGCATTACTTTGACCAAAAAAAATTACTTTTTGTTTAGTTTGTTACTCCATTCGTTTTTGAAAATAACTTCTACACGTAATAAACTACATAATGAGATGTATTTTAGATACTTTAGGTGAAAGTAAAAGTATTTTATGGGGTGCGTAAAAAATTAGGGTAAAAGTGTTTTCAAATACGGAGAGAGTATTACTTTATCGAGTTAGTATTGTAACAATGTTTTAAATGTTTTTCATTCTTATTTTTTAAAACAAAAAAAAAAATCAAAAACACCAAAATAAAGAATTGTTTAAAACCGAACCGGATAACTTACTTTTGATATTAAACACAGCCAAAGAGGACCGTACTTAAAACCGAACCGCTATTTCCGAACCCACACTAGTAGCCCTAATTCTATAACGATCTGAAAGCGCGCCGCCGTAGTAGATCTGTGCATTGACCACCGCTTACCTCCTCACAGCTGCTCCGCACCGCCCTTGCTCCGCCAGGTAGAGTTATGACCTAAGCTCATTTGCGGCTCAACCTCTCGTCTTCCTTTTGCGTTAAGAGCAAGGTGCGGAGTTTTGAGTTGAGTTCTTATCAGCTACTCGCGATTGGTCGCAAGGTTTGCGCTCTCTGAATTTGATACTTCAGATCTCTGCTTGCATTTTCTTACCGTAAGAATACTTGATTCCTGATAATGTGATTAGGAGAGGAGAATTACAGAGTCTAAGGATCTTGTCTATGTTCGTGTCAATTAGATGGGGAAATCAAACCTCGTATAAACAATTTAACACTCCATTACGATTTGACACGGCTAATTGATCTTTTCGGTCCCTTTGCATTATATTGCTTACAAAAGTATAACTATAAATTGCTAATTGCATTGGGTCTATGCCTTTTCAGATGCTAAAAAGCAGTATTTGGTCCATAATTAGCTTTTGTTGCATTTCCTGGGGGTAAAATATGGGATCAAACCTGCATAGCTTGTAATTAGGAGAGGAAACTTGCATGGTAGCATTGAATGAAGACTAGGGGTGGGTGCCATTATAGAATATGTGAGAGCTAAAACAAGCTATAGAAAAATAATGGAGAAATTGATGAGTGTTTCGTACTAGTTTTATTGTCTTTCCATGGAACTTCATCTTTCTTGTTTGCTTAGTGAATGTTTTTTTCCTAACAAGCATTAGGAGTGTTACAATATAACTAGTTTGAACATTGGAGGTGACATTCACTCACCCATGGCTAACTAACCATTTTATTCTCTTGAGGTTTCTGTATAGATTAGCTAATTTCTTGTACAAGGTCTCTTTATCTGTACATTTCCAATCTATTAATTTGTTTCCTCCTGTTATGCATGCTATTTCAAGTTCATCTGCCTGGATCCACTCGTCCAGCATCAAAGATTGGGTAGAAGAACAAAATGCAAGTTGAAAGTGCTCTGTCTGTAATTGGCCCAAGGCCTTCTGAACTGTCTAGTCCCTTCGGTGGACCCCAAGCACTTGGTCCAAATGGAAAACAGCGAACATCAGGCTTGGAATCTCCAATCATGTTGCTGACTGGTCATCAAAGTGCCGTTTATACAATGAAGTTCAATCCTGCAGGAACTGTGATTGCATCTGGCTCGCACGACAAAGAAATCTTTCTCTGGAACGTTTATGGTGATTGCAAAAACTTCATGGTCTTAAAAGGGCACAAGAATGCTGTCCTGGATGTCCAGTGGATGACCGATGGATCAGTCATAATATCTGCTAGTCCGGATAAGACGCTAAGAGCTTGGGATGTTGAAACTGGAAAACAGATAAAGAAAATGGTGGAACATTCGTCTTTTGTTAACTCATGCTGTCCCGCTAGAAGGGGTCCACCTCTCATTGTGAGTGGCTCTGATGACGGGACTGCCAAACTTTGGGATATGCGCCAAAGAGGGGCCATACAAACATTTCCAGACAAATATCAAATAACTGCAGTGAGTTTCTCGGATGCCTCTGATAAGATATACACAGGTGGCATTGATAACGACGTGAAAGTATGGGATATACGTAGGAGTGAAGTCACTATGACACTTCAAGGACATCATGACACTATAACAGGTATGTCGCTGAGTCCCGACGGCTCTTATCTTCTGACCAATTCCATGGACTGCAGTCTCCGTATCTGGGACATGCGGCCTTATGCTCCACAGAATAGGTGTGTTAAGATTCTCGAAGGGCACCAACACAACTTTGAAAAGAATTTGCTGAAGTGTGGCTGGTCACCCGATGGAAGCAGAGTTACAGCTGGCAGTTCTGATCGCATGGTTTACATATGGGATACAACTTCAAGGCGGATTTTGTATAAACTCCCAGGGCACAATGGAGCTGTGAATGAATGTGTTTTTCATCCATCCGAACCTATTATTGGTTCATGTAGTAGTGATAAACAGATATATCTTGGTGAGATTTGAGCGTTCCGAATGCATCTGTCAGGTACACATCTGGAATCTTGAATGTACTATATTTAATTCTAGCCGGATTTAATTTACTGTGTTCTGCAAGATCATCATGGGCTTTCCCTCACTTTTTGGAGTTTGTAGAACTGTGATGTGTGTAATAACATTGACTCGATTGGGTGTTTGAATCACTTTATCACTCACTTGGTTTGAATACCTATACTAATAACTTACTATACAGTGCTTTCAAGGTTTCTAGGAGTCCAAGAGAGTGAGTGATTTAGGACATAAGAATCACTATATCTGGGAATTGAATAATTGCATGTTTGAATTATGCTTAGGTATGTGATGTATCATGTATGACATAGGTGTTGAAGTCAAAATGGTAATAGTGCTAATACTGCCCTTCTTCAATAACAGCTCTTCCATTTAATATAAAGGGCTAATTACATTTGCCCCTCTCAGGTTTGATTAAATTATCAAATACTTATTGAGGCTTCGTAAAATTTCAAATATGCCTTTTTATCAAATTAAATTTTCTATGCATGACAACAAAAGACAATTTGAGTATGATTTTAGTACGACTGCATCATACAATTCATACTATCGTTGCATTCCCCAGCCAACCTATTGCCACCATAGTCGACCCTCATAACCAACCTCAAGGCTGTCGAGCTAGTCTCCTTGGCCGAGTTCCCTCTCATGTGGCCATGTCTTTGTGACCATGGGTTCATGTCTTTGTAACCATTTCTATGTACGGTTGATTCATCACTTCCATTAATATTGGAGTCATCCAACAATATTCTTGTGATGTCATCCTACGCCAAAGTCATTGGATGGCGGGGACATTGTTTTGGCGGTTTGAGGATTTTCTCTAGGTGATTAGGGAAGTATGGTTGGTCCATATGGTGATCCAAGGATGTTTGTGTGTGCGTTATGATTTTCCGGTGGGAGAAAATGTTTGGCGGATCACAAAGTGCACGTTATCGAAACCATACGTTTTAATAAACCTCATGCCATTGTCGGCTCCAATTACTCTTGTTTGTCATTATATTTTATGCTTTAGTCTTTTTTCTTTTAACGTCTCAAAATATATTTCTCACTTTATTTTTCTTTTTGTTATAGCTTTTATTCATTGGGGTACTCCAACTTTCAGTGTTGTAACAAAAACGTATTCCCAATATCGATTAGTAACAAAAAAAGTATCACAACCATAAATTTTGTAATAAAAATGATCCCAAACCGATTTACAGGTCAGTAATAGACAAGCAATGTATCCCAAACCGGTTTACAAAAATGTATCCCAAATCGGACAAGAGTGGCACGGTGGACAAATAAAACAGATTATTATTCTCAAAACAATTTGATCGCAATGAAACATGAAGCTAGTAGGGAGCGCGTATAGATTAAAACAGAATTAGAACAATCTTGCATTTAGGAAGTAAATTAAAACTTAATTGGTTTACAGCACGTAGAGCCACAATATACGGCGTATATTATAATATATTTATTTATTATTGATGATGTGCTCGCTCATAAATCCGAAGCGTAATTAGTAGATAATTAATTAATTAACGCCCCTCACATAATTAAAACCTCCAGAAAAACTTCATTCTCTGCGTTTGTTCGTAGCTAATCAAGCAATTCAGCTGCGAAGGACGGCAGTGTAAATGCGGCTTTATGAATCTTCATAGAAAGAAAAAAAAACATACCATTAATTACTAATTAATTAAATACTCCTAATTATTAACCAATAGTGAAATAATAACTTGATTCATTATTATAATTATTCGAACTAAATGAAGATCGCAAATAAACATTAATGTATGTAGTAATTTTTGTTTAGATGTTTTGTTTTGCTTTGTAAAATTGATGGTGTTAAAGAAAATGGAGGGATGGAGGAGTAATTTAAGTACCTGGGAGTTGTAGAACTTGAGCGGAGGAGCGTTATTAGATTTATTAAGATGATGATGTTTGTCGACAGGATTGACTGGATTTTTGAAGTCAACTTGTGGGCCCTCTGTCGAGCACAACATGTACCCAATCACCCCACTACAACAACACACAAAACAAACAACATTTTTATTATTGTTATTATATTTATCCCATTATTTATTTATTTTACCCCAAAAAAAAGTAAAAGAAAAAATTGATCAGTTAAGTTACGTCTCACCTGGTGGTACGTGGGACGTCATATGTATGTATATAGGAATGTACTTATACCTAGGATAAGTAGGGACGGTGGTCCAGGCGTAATTGACTGAGCCTTTGAAGACTTGACGGCAGTTAGCGATGATTTGCTTGATGAAGTGCATGTGGAGCCATATGCTCTCGGCTTGGGTGCAAACGACGCCGCCCGGCCTCAGCGCCCTCCCCACCGCCTCAAAGAACGCCCTCTCAAACAGCTCCTTCGCCGGTCCTATCGGGTCCGACGAGTCCACTATGATCGCGTCATAGTATCCTCTCTCTGCCCCCCTCACAAATTCAGCTCCTATAATTATTTTTTTAAAAAATAAACAACGTCGTATTATTTATGAGTAATTTACCTAAATAGGACTAAAACATAATGACTTTCCCAATATTGGATCATATGTTTTTATTTTCTCAATGTAGGACATTTGGTCATTATCAAGTAGTCATTATTCAAGTAAATGTCTATCATTACTGGACATTATTTCTCCCACAAGGTCATTATTAAGTCCTATTTAGGGAATAAAAAAGTTTAAGTCCTACATTAGGAAAGTTATTATGTTTTAGTCCTATTTAGTGCAAATTTCACATTATTAGAGTATAAAATATTTAATGGGTTAATTCCAGTTTAAATTTTAATAAAATAAAGTATAGGGAAGAGATATAATTGAATATGAATGTAGCCTGTAGGTACGTACCATCTCCAATATGGAGCGTGACCCGAGGATCCTCAAATCCTGCTGCAAGGTATGGGAAGAACTGCCTCGACACCTTCCATTTGTTTTTATATTTTTTAACATTATTATAATATATCAATCATTTTCATAATAATACAAATATACTCATTTATATATATGGAAAGCGTAATATTAAAAAATTTTTACTTGTAATAAAGAAAAATATACAGTAATTAAGATGGACTTACATCCACCACCATTTTATCTATCTCAACGATATCAATTTGCTCCACACTGGCATAGCGACACACCTCCATCACTGTAAACCCTATTCCTCCTCCGATTATCAAAACCTGTTTAATTATATATAAGTACATACACATTAATTAATATACTTTTGTACACTAGACGTTGTTAATTACTCCGATCCATAATCCCCACATTGAAATATACGTACACGTGTACGTGATGGATATCGGGCCTCGTGGATAAGATGGGTCGATTCTGTGTAGGTGCTATTTGGGAAACCAATGTGATATCCGGCCTAAGTAAATATTATTAAGCTCCGGCCAGAGGATTGATCGGGTCGACTGGAGCGCGGATTATGGAATTGGGCCTAGGCCCGAATCAGTAAATGAGTCGATCGTGGGTAATTGATGACTGATTCTTTGTTCGTAATTAATGCACGTTAGATCAATCATACCCAGAAAACAGGACACGATTACATACCATGTACATACGTAGTAGAACGTAGACTATAGAAATGGAGTGAAAACTCTATTGTAACTCAAGTTAAATAAAGCTAATACAGGTCACATTGGGACTCTTTTTTTCTAAGAGTTTAATACTCCGTATTATTATCCTTATTCACGTTCTTCATATTATCCTTATACCATACGTCACATACAATATATTCTTGACAATAGATTAGTTTCGTAATTGATGGAATTGTGTCATGTACAAATCTTTTTATGAAATATAAAATATATACTAAAGTAAAAAAATTTAAAAAAAAAATAGATAAAGACCTTGGTTGGTTTGGGAATGGAACCAAGAGGGAGATGGACAATCATTTCAGTGTAGGGGAAACCGCCATTCTCTGTGTGTTGGATTGCTCCATCCAGTGTCAGCACCTTCCCATACGTAGCTGACTGCATGCATGCATCATATATGTATATGGACCCACCCACCACCCATATTAATTCGTTTATTAATACATTTCGAACATGTTTGAGAATAACGTTAGAGATTAACATTAGCGTTTTGGATAAAATTTTAATGATGCATATTACTTTAAAAACGCTATCCGTAGATAATCTTTTCAAAACGCTAACGCTAATCTCTAACGTTATTCCCAAAGAGGACCTTCATTATATATTCATGCGTGTCAAACAGACACATATATATATGAGTGTGTACCTACCTCAAATAGCATAACATCTTGGTAGTCTGACTTTCCTTTAAAGAGTAGATTCTCTATCTTCAGAGAGAAAGCTTCGCCTAAGAATCATGCATCAAAATATTGAACATATTTATTAAAAGAAAACTTATCTGATTAAGGCTTCTTTAGCATCATCAGCTACAATTTAACACTTTCTTAATTTGGCTTTTGATCAAAATGAGAAGGATTTTCCCAAAGGAAGAGAGTATTATTTTACACTTTAATGCGTTACGTTGTGAAACGTGGTTTACATCTATAACTGAAAATATCATTACACTTGGACACGTGCTATGTGTCAAAATATTGTTTCTTACAAAAAAAATTATTTACTCAAGTGAAAAAAAAAAAGAAAATAGTTTTCTCTCATTCTTCACCAAAATGGGAAGAATTTTGTTTCCCCTCCTCCAATTTGTGGAAAAAATATGTTATATTATGATATCAATTTAATACTCCCTCCGTCCCATAAAGTGTTACTCATTTTGACTAAAGTTAAAATTAAGGGAGTGATAATTTTGTGTTGACTTTTCAAAAATACCCTTGATGTGATGGGTAAAAGTAGGATGTGATATGTAGATTATTAGGAAAAAGGTATGATGTGATAGGTAGGGTTTGAAAAAGTAAGGGGTAAAAGTGGTTTTTTAATAGAAATGGGTAAGAGATTGTGGGACACAATTTTTTTGAAACGTGTAAATCTTTTTGGGACGGAGGGAGTATCAATATATTTCTAATGAACGTAGTTTTATAATATTATTTTTTTTTATAAAATATACTCCGTATCTATGTATAAATATGTATACTCCGTATATTAATGGTCAAAGTACAAATTAGAAACCGTGAAAAATCAAATTAGAAGAACATTTGTATTAGAAGAATAAAAAAAATTACTCCCTCCGTCCTAAAATTAACTTCTCGGTTTGACTTTTGTGGTCAAACTTTTTAAACTTTGACTGTATATTACGGAAAAAATACATTGAATTTTCATATAAATTTATTAGAAATAGATTCATTTTGAAACATAGTTTTGAAATATATAATTTTTATAAAATATATTTATATAAAAATTGAGATATTGATAGTCAAAGTGTCGCATTGGAGACCGTGAAAAGTCAAATGGGAAGTTAATTTTAGGACGGAGGGAGTATCAATTTAGCTCAAATTGAAATGTTTTTTTATTACCTGGCCACATTTGGCTAAACTCGGAAAACCAGCCGGGCTTTATGCTCCCAAACTCTTTTCGGCCGCCATTTTCATGGTGGCTGGCGGTGCAGTTATGGTGGCCACCGTGGGTGACGCCATTACTCTTGTGGCCGTTGACCGCCCCGTTGCTGGGTGTAGCGAGGACCTCCATCCTATCTATCTATATTTCCCTATTGCTCCCTCCAAAAATGATTTTTTTTTTTTAAATTTCTTTCTATTTTTGGTAGGTCGTGGGCTTGTGGCGGTGGAATCTATGCAAGCTTTCATAGTCTACTTATATAGTGCGAAAAAAAAGATACGGAGTATAATTTATGAGTTCCAAATTAAATTCTCACTTGCTCTTTGAGATAGTTTAGAATAATTTCATTAGATTTATTGTATATGATATTTTTAAAATTTTACTTTGTCTATTTAATATACCATGTAATTATCATTTAATTAAAGATAAAATATCGTCGCAATTGACCATAAAAAGTTAAAACTGGACAAATAACTTAAACGAAGGAAGTATACGAGTAATGTTGTACGTCCTTTATTAATACTCCCAAATGTTTTCATACGTTATTTAAATTAAAATTTCTACAAAACAATTGGTGAAGGATTTTCTTTTTTTATTATTAAGGAAATTGGTAAAAGATGTTATTATCCGTTTTATGCGCAGATGAATAAAAAATGGGCTAAAACCCGTCATTGATCCTTAGCTTCAATTTCATGAGTTGTGCACGATTGGTCCTTCAAGTTTCAAAAGTTCATATATAATCTTTCAAGTACACGTCAGCCTTCCAGATGAGGTTTTTTTGACAATAAACATTAAAAGCTAAACAAAATACTAGTTCCATATAATACGAGTAAATTCCACTAGGTCCAACTACTCTTTCAAGAAACCCATTCAACCAAAAGCTCAAGCTTGTGGTTGTGGCCCAGGAACAGTTATTTATATTCTAACACGCCCCCTCACGTGCAGGCATAGTCTTTTTCGAGCCTTGCACGTGAAACCTTAATTTTTTTAAACTGGGTGGCGCTGAGTTTTGAACACGTGACCTCTTAGTCAACGAGGCTCCGATACCATGTCAAGGAACCCATTCAACCAAAAGCTCAAGCTTGTGGTTGTGGCCCAAGAACAGTTATTTATATTCTAACATACTCCGTATTATATGGAGCTACAATTCCATTTTAACGTTTACCGTCAAAAGAACCTCATCTAGAGGACTGACGTGTACTTGAAGGACTATTTATGGACTTTTGAAACTTGAATTATTACTTATGAACTTTTAAAACTTGAAGGACCAATCGTGCGTAATTCATAAAGTTGAAGGACTATTTATAAATTTTTGAAACTTGAAGAAATAATTGTGCACAATTCATAAAGTTAAGTGACTAGTGGAATTTAGCGTTGAGACTCGAGAGCATCGGTTTCTGAGATGATAATAATGTCAATACACCAAACTGCATTGGGCAAGTTGACAAGTTGGAGTGTGTGGTTACCGCTCCCTCGTGTGACAGGTCCAAAAACATAATTAATGTATCAAAAAAATGAATTAGGCAATTTTTTGGTATGTGTATCTAAAATCTAAACAAGCAAAAAAAAGTCATACTCCGATCCGTACATTTGAATCACACAATTTAATTTAAAAAAAATGTATTATTTTCACACTAAAAAGCTGAATTTAAGATGAAGGAATTTCTTTAGTTATATACTTCCTCTGAAACTTTCTCCTCAATCACTATTCACAAAGTCAGATTTTAACCACTTTCTTTATATATTTTGTTAGTTATTTGATAAAAAATATAGTCACGTTACATTTTGTTTGTAGAACTTTTGATGTAATTTTTAATATATAATTTTTAATTTTTAATTTTACACTTATAATCAAATAAATTGAATTTAAAATAATTTCAGTCAAACCTCGTACGTAAACCAAACTGACAAAAAAAAATTTAAGATAGAGGGAATAACAAATGTCATACGGTTATACCTTTGCGCTATTTAAAAATATACTTTTAAATATCAACTTATTACTCGAATCTCAATATTTATTTGGAATTAATAAATACTTCCTCCGTCCCGGAGTATTCGTCCAGTTTTGACTTTTGAAACTGTTCATCTAAGCACTTTGACTCATCAAATTCTCTCAATGTGTAAGCCTAAATATAGTCATGTATGATCTTGTTTGATTTGTCTTAACATATACTCCCTCCGTTCTCAAAAACACTTTCTCTTTCATTTTTTCCACTTCCAACAAAACACTTCCCCTTTCTATTAAAAAACCACTTTTACCCTTACTTTTTCATACCCTACCTATCACATCATACTTTTTCTCTAATAATATAACCATCACATCTTACTTTTACCCATCACATCAAGGGCAAAATTGGAAATCAACTATAATTTAACACTTCCTTATTTTTGCCCCCAAATAAAATGGGAAGGATTTTTCCAAACGGAGGGAGTAGATTATTAATATATAATTTTTATAATTTTTTAATATACAAATTACAAGATAAAATGGATTAAAGAAGTGTATTGGATGGTGTGTAAAAATGAAAGTGGACAAATACTCTGGGACGGAGGTAGTAATTAAAGTTGATGAGGGAAGAGAGCTCATGTTCATCAGTAAAATAAATAAACTTGTTCCACAACAAGTTTAACATTAAAAAAAATATTTCCTAGACATGCAAGTATGCAACTATAGTTTGTCACATACAAGAGATATCTGTAAAAACTTTCTTAGAATTGATTTAGGCAGTGTGTTATGGAGCATGAGGAGGGACTTCACCACCATCCGTCACGCGCGCCCCTCTTCCATAACACCCTAGGCGTGGTTGGGCGTTGCCCCAAAAGGCTTGACAACTATCACTCTGTGAGGGTTTATTAATTCCTTCCCCATTTTTTCCTTTTTTTTAAATTTCAACCAATCAAAATTTAACACACATTCGCACCTCATCACATTCCTTCACACTCACTATAACACAAATTTCTCATCACTTCACATTATACATTTTTACACCTTGTCAAGCGTCGTCAAGTCTCTCGTCAAGCCCGTCATAACACATGACTAAGTGCTTCCATAATGAATCACCTTAAGTCCATCATCGAATTTGTGAAGTGTCAAAAATATTGTTACACGTTTGATGTGGCCAAATAACTCCGGTGCCTCTTGTGGTTTGGAAAATTGGCACAAATAATCTCTCGGTTTTCAAAACTTATTTCTAAAGTCCTCGTGGTTTCAAAACGTTTCACCCACACCCCCTCTGATTAGTTTCCTGCCATCATTTTCTGGTGAAGAGGGAGCATTGGCGCATAATTTCTAAACCATAGGGGGCACTCGTGCTCATTTCTTATTTTCGTTTATTATTTGTGTTTTCTCTTTTTTTAAATATTTTTGTCTCTTTTTCCTTTTCCTAGAACTTTTTTAAAATATATTTTCAATTTTTTATCATGTTTTAAAATTTTTTAAATTCTTTGTGTTTGAAATAAAAATAAAAATTAGCATACATACATCTATCTCAAATTAAATATTTTCACTTTTTGTTACTTAGAATAATTTTTTGGAAAGTTAAGAAAACCCAGATTTAAAAATTAAAAACATGGAAAAACGAAATGAGAAAATTAAAATACGAAAAAAAGTCTTACACAAAAAAAATTTGGACACGCCAAAAAAATTCCATAGAATTGAGATGTCCAAAAAAGATATTCATTTTTATTTTTGTATTATTTTGTTTCTTATTTTATTCCTCATTTTTTTGAAGTTCTTAAAAAAAATTACTTTCTTCATACAAAATAAAAATTGTTAATTTGAGACGTACATATGCATTATCAGAGGAGGCACGGGTGCAATATTTTGAAACCACAAAAACTTTAAAAATAATAAGTTTTGAAAATAGAAGAAGTGGTGGTGCCGGTTTTGCAAACCACGAGGGATATCGGCGCTATTTGGCCAGTTTGATGTGCACCAATTCAAGGAAGCATTATTATTGTTGTCGCAAAGTGCAGAGTTGCACGAGATAAAGTCAGTCGATGAATCCAATAATATAATGTTTGCGCCCTTCGAAGCAATGCCGGCCGGCCAGTTTCGTTGATTGATTTCTGCGCATCGATGGGTTTAATTTGGCTGATCGATCCATTATCATTCGACTTTAATTATTCCTGCCATGCCGCATGCACTCATCTTTTCTCCTCCTTTCTCGATCTATGGAGTATTTAAATAATGAAACCCATACATACCATGCAATCATGCATCAATTATATGCTTTTGGTATATTTTTTTCAATTAAATTGAATGAACGAACTCTCATCACACATGAGGTCATGTGTGATGCAAGAGCGGGTGATACGAACGAGGCTGAGCTCTCAGATCTAACGACTAATCTGGCATGAATGGCGGGATAAGCGCAAGAACGAGAAAAAACGAAGCATTTTGGGCCGCTACAGTGTTTGGAACTGGGTCATAACTTTGGCTACAAGTGTCTGATTTCAGCGGTCTATCCTTTTTCGGAAAGCTTTCAGGATGGTCTACCGATTGATGTTCAATGCAAGTGGAAAGAAAAGTGTGGAAGAAAAGGGTCCTTATTGACATGGAAAAAATGACAATCGTGCCTTTTAATAGGTGCAAGAATATGCGTGCACTTAACTATGTTATGGATGTGCGAAAACTCACTATCCATAGATGGCTTAAGTGGAAGGAGATCAAGAGGCATTCAAGGGCCATCAAGCCACTTCTATGTAAAACTTGTATGCTTAAAAAACTAAAGTTCTATCCTGATCATGTATCTGCCCAATCAATCCCCATCTGCCAAACATTTCATGACTTTTATCGAAGACGATTTCTGTATTGGACATTTCAAGATATACTCTGAAGTAATCGATTCCATTCATCATATGCCCTGTCTTCTTTGACACGACCTCTTTCATCTTCTAAGGGAAAATGGCCTCTCCCAAGATGCTTTTCTGGTACCACCATGTTGGATCACTATCAGAGCTACCAGATCCACTCTCAGCAAAGTTGTATTTAGGTTTCAAAAGTTTATGAGAAGTTGGGGTAGGTAAAAGAGAAGGTGTTTCTTCGTCGTTATTGCTTAATAGCTTGAAGGTGTGCATCGTAGAGTCACGAATCACCATTGGTAGTGATTCTATTTCCAACAAAAGGGGGAAGATTGATCAGAATTGAAGAGAGAAGGGTATGGTGTCAACGACAAGGAAGTGGAATGGGCAATGAGAGAGATGGGTTAAAGGATGGGGATGTGTAAAGTAGGGTTAAAATATATAAATTGTACATGTGTTTGTGTGATGCAGACATACTCTCTCTATCCAAAATTGTTCTTTACCTTCCATGTTAGAAATTTTGAGTGAAGTTATTTTTATTTCAATGCATTTCATTCACTACACATATTAAGGCTTTAATTAGCTTTGGTTGTTTTACACCTTTTTGCATCGCTTTTGCACCGATGCTTTAGACTTTTTGCATCGGTTGTATTATGCAATTGAGGTAGTCTATTTATTTGATTTTGTAGTAGTGATTATAAGTATAAAATTTAAATATGAAATTTATATATTTTAATACTACAAAATACGAAGTGACATGGCAATATTTTCTTATATGAAGTAAAATGAGTAGTAAAATTCAGCAAACAAAATAAATAAAATTTCATTGTGTAAATAGTGTATGAAAAGAATATTTCTAAGTAAAGGGAATAATTATTTTATGTTATAAATGAGAGAATAAATTTTCATAATAGTCTTTTCTAATGAGGTATTTTCCTAAATTAGTCTTCAATAAGTTTTAATTACCTACATTATACTTTACAATTGAGATTTATTTCCTATGTAATCCTATATAAAAAATGTCACTTAAATATCGATTATGTAGAGGGTATTTTGGTATCTTTTATCATCTAAATTTAGTGTAACTTTTAAAATGATCAATTCTAATGAAGTCTCTTTCCAAAATGGTCTTTTCTGTGTAGGGAGGTAAATTTGATTCAAATTTAAAATATTTTGACAAATTTTTAATAATTCGTGGATTATGTATAGTTAATGATTATTTTAATTTTACATGAAACTTGTATATAAGTGTCTATTTTAAGAATTTACCTTAAGTTTAGATAATGGATGTATCAAAATATTTTCCAATTAATCATGGAACATTTTTTACTATAGATTACTTAAGAAATAAATCTACATTATAAAATATCATGTAGATAATTAAAATCTATTGAGGACTAACTTAAGATGTGTCTATTGGACATAGATATATTGTGTGTGATTTAGAGCATGTTTGAGAATAACGTTAGCATTTTAAAAAGGTTATCTATGAGGAGCGTTTAGCGTTAGCGTTTTCAAAGTAATCTGCACCTTTAAAATTTTATCCAAAATGCTAACGCTAATCTCTAACGTTATTCTCAAAAAAATCCTTAAATTTTAGATTGTGTGCATTTGATATAGACCATCATGGTGTTTTAATGGGTCGACATTGGGCCTGCCAATGCCAGATACTCGTTCGTACCTCAACCAATTCTAAACCTTTCAACTTTGGCCTTCTTCCTAATCGACGACGACGACATACTCTTCGAATTCGCCCTTCTTCCAACTAACCGCAGGTATTTCTTCTTCTTCTAAGCTCCATCTCTGATATTCCTGCTGCTTAAGCTTTCTACTTTATCAATTTTTCTCAGACTGAATTATTACACGAAACGCAATTAGCAGATGTTTAAATTGTTACTCCGTATTGGATTTTAGATGTTTATTATCGAAGAAGTGCACTTTCACGTTCCAGATCAATATTCTCTTTCTTACTCCGTATTTTATTTCTCCAAATTTTTTCATTTTACGCTATATCTTTATCAACTACAACTGAATCGGCTGTATTTTTTTCTCTTCTAGATATGCGTCTTTCAGATTTATTTTTAGGAGGATCTATTGCATTAAAATAGCTGTCTTTAGTTTTTAATATTATCAGAGTGTATGAGATCTGCATTTCTGTCAGATCTTTAATTGTTTAGGTAAAATAAGATTTTATGAAGAGATTAGATGCTACTCCGTATAAGATTGTTGTTGTGGGAAGGTGCAAATTTTTAGTTCAAAAAGTTGTCGTTGTGGAGTTTAGAGGATGATACATTTCAAGACGGTTGAATTTCGTAATTGTGCACCTTTTGAAGTGATGAGATATTTTGAGAGTAGGAAACTCTGTAAATCAAGAATGGGCATTGAGTTAAGAACAATAAAAACACACCAGCTAGTTGGAAAACTAAATTTAATTATGAGTTTAACAACATAAACCACCTGCCAAAACGAATTGCAAGAACAGATTGAGTATAGTATTGTATCAGTAAACATATTCCAGTCCATTGCCAATGGAGCTAAAGGAGTCATTATTGGTTTTTTTTAGTTTCAAACACATAATAGACTAAATCAAAATAAACCATTCAACTTCCATTGCTTCTTACTTTCGGTGATGTTTGGGCTGTTATGGAGAAATGCATCTAGGGTGCAATGGAAATAGCCCATCTCCTCTTACAGGGGTAATATTGGGTTGTTGGTGTTGCTGTAATTGGTAAACATATTGACAAATATAATAAAAGGGAAAGAAAAACTTAGTGTATGATCATCCGATATACGGATTTGCATTGAAGACTGAATCTAGACAGCGAAGTTGTTTCACATACTGTACATTAACCACTTCCCGAATCATAGTTTAGGGGCTTTAACTTTTCATCACAACTCACGAGCTTTAACTTTTCATCACTTTTCTAACACTGATGTGTCAAGTGTAGGGGCAGGGATTGCTCTTTTCATTCATTATCCATATGTGCCATCTTGGTTACAATCCAATCAAAATCAGCGATAGTTGTCTTGTTTAACATAAAAATTTCTCTAAACTATTAGAGAGGTACTCCTTCCGTCCCCAGAGTATTCGTCCAGTTTGACTTTTTCGAGTTAAAGTAGACAAACTTTAATCATCAATAGCTCTCAATTTGTATTGCATATTAATACAATGGTATAAAATTTTGAAAGCTCTAAACGAGTTAAATATATTAAAATCATTTTTATACTAATATATATTATAGTTTTTACTTCATTACGGAGTAAGACTCAAAGTTCGTCCACTTTGATTCGAAAAAGTCGAACTGGACGAATAGACGAATACTCCGGGACGGAGAGAATATTAATAATAAAGCAAAGATGGATTGACCTTGAATGTTATATTGCCTGTAATATTGGAGGCCACTGTATCCAATATTCTAATTGCTTTTGCTTTGCATACTTGCTTGAAAATAAGGAATATAGTGATCTACTTGTAATTCTTTCTTACTTCCCTCAAAAGCCTTGGCCCTTTGAAAGGCACAAAGAAATAAAAAGAATGCTACTCTGTAATTTAATACTCCGTAATTAGAAAGGGTAGATTGAACAATAGTTACAAGAGTCTCGAGTGGCTGGATGAACATATTCGTTCGAAAATGTTCTTTTAATGAACTAAATTACATAGAAGTGACTCGAAGGTTGATGTTTTAAGGGGTTTTTTATATATTGTTATTTCAGCGGTTTCAAAGACTGAAAAGATGGGTATACTTGATGGAACATTTGGACGGCTTGCACCCAAGGCGAAGAATCTGGTAGTTGCGGGTGGATTGTCTGCATTCGTCTTTGGGGTCTATTTCTACACAATGAGAGCTGTTGGTGGCTCTGATGAACTTCAGGTTGCCATTGATAAGTTTGAACAAGAGAAACAGAAGAAAGAGTCCAAACCAAGCTTGGCATCAAATACCTAAGCACATCAAAATTATCCTTTGAAGTTTCTCTTGTAAAGAAAATCAAGATTGTGGATTTCCCTTCATTTTTAAGTGGTTGGTTAGCTTTGGAGAGTCTTATCAAACATCAGTCATGCTTATAATGGGAATCCTGCTTCCAAATTCACATCATCCATCATATATACTATAACATTTTCTTTCATTAGAAAATGTTATGCTTATTTTAAGCTATGCTCCTCGTATATATGGAGTAGTTATTACTATGTTTCAACATAACAGGACTACATGAGAATCTCGTACCATACTTGTTTGGGTTTGTACTAAATTCATCAAATTTGCAAGGTACGGGTTTTGATTATCCCGTTTTTCTCTTCGGTATAAGCTTTTCCTTTTTTTCATTCCCCTTTATGATCAACATACATCAAACCTGCACAATTTGCAAATGAACAGCCTTGTTTTTCTTCTGCAACGGCAAATGTGCAAGGATTGAGCCTTCTTCATATCAACTTATCAATTTGTGGTTTTCCTTCATGTTTATGGGTTGTGGCTTTGGAGAGTTCTATTCTAAAAAGGGATTTGATAGCACAAACAACAAGCCCAATAAAAAGTTTGCAAAACAAATAGAGTCCGGAGAAGGGGCGTGTGCAAACCCTATACTTCCTCTGTCATGCAGTATGTCCACTTTCTTCTTGGCACTCAAACTAAAGTGGGAAGAATATTGAGATGAAATGATATATCTATAATCTACCCTTCCCACAAGCCAAAATACTAAATTCAATTCAATACTTTTTGGACATCTTAATTTTTCTGCCCAAAAGGTTATATCTTCTTAACTCAACCTCCAAACGTGTTTTTTTTATTCTTGATTTCCTAAATTTAGGATGACTTATTTTAAATCCCAAAACAATAAAATCCTATTTATTGAGGCTTCAAAGCCAGGTTTTCCACATTCAACATAGAACAGTATCTGGTGTAAATCTTTTCATTAAGTAGGCTAGCCCCTCAAGAAAAAGAAATTACTGGCTGACTCGTTTCTTTCATTGCTAGAATGACTAGTAGTAGTGTTTAATGGATGTAGTAAACAAATAAGCCATGTTTCTGCAGTGACTACAAAAACTGCACTCTGGTGATGGTGGTGGTTGGAAATTTATTTATGAGAGTATGAAAGCTCTGTATCTCCCACCAAACTACTACATAGAATCAATCAGTCATGCCCATTTGGCCCTTCAATCTTTCAACAACATGAGGCAATGTCTTGATGCTGTCTTGAACCGAAAGATCAACACACGACTCCAACTCCATCATCGCATTGCCTTTGTTCGCCTGGAGTTTTGAAGACTCGTATTTGTCTTGGCAGACCAGCAGTGACCTTTGCAGCTTTTCCTGCACCCATAAAAACCATTTTTGTTATTATTTGTATGTATACTTTACTTTTGTTGAGCACTAAAGAGATGCACATACATTCCTAATTGCTAGTAGTTTTTTTTGGGAGTTAACACAAATGAACAAGATCCATATGGCTTCGTTTGGTAGCTTTTATCTAGCTTATTCAGCATGTACGCAAAATAATTGGGCTCTAAACCATTTTCTTACAATGAAGTCGATAGATGCAATAACTTCCTTACCCTTGATGCATTAGTGCATTTACTACCCAAAATTTCATAGAACGCAAGAAACAAAGAATGTTTAATGGAAATTTAACTTCTCATTCTAATTTTGTTCATTACTTAGTCAGAGCTAAAACATTGTCAATAATGACTTTTATAGCTCGTTTGGCAATGGGCGCAAAATTCAACAAATTCAACTTTTTTTAATAAGTTCATCCCAATATAGGCCTTCCCAAATGAATCCCTAGTATGATGGTATCATCACTCTTTTTTTCTAACATGTTTGTTTTGTGGCAAGAGTCAAATTCTTTCGAATCCAAAAACAAGCAACAAAACTAGTAGATGGTAAGCAACAAGGGGAAACTACCAGATTGTTACATGAAAGAGATACATATAGAACATACAAGTGCGGAGAACATATCATTGCTAACAGATAAATGCTACACAGAGAAGCAAGACCCATGATCATGTCCACAAGTCTCATTTATATTTGCAAGCCTAAGTTGAATGCTATGTAGAGTCAGAGATTAAGAGCATTGGCAATAGCAATGGCAAGTTAAAAAATGGAATGCCACAAGGTGACGTGGAGCATTCCAACCAATCAAAAAGAGTCCAGTTTTGTGGACAAGTAATTGTCATGCAGTGGCAAGTAATTGTTTTTGTCATTTTTTACACTTTTGTGACATATTTTAATTATAAAAATTTTTTTACTTATCTTTGTTTCATAAAAATATATGCACTTCGCTTTTTTAAAAAAAAACCTTTTTTTCTACAAATAAAAAAATAAAAAAAATAAAAAAAAATAAGAAAACAAGAAGAGAAGAATGGCTCGCCCAAGCCATGCCTTGGATGGAGGAATACACAAGCCACGCATGGCAAAATAGGTAAATGGGTGATGTGGCGTGGCAGGCATTTGCCTCACCACTGCCAATGCTCTAAAAAGATGTGCACGCCAAAGGTGAGGTTCATAAACATTTCATATGACAAATATGTCCAAATAATCTTTGAAACTTGAATGCTAGATTCATTGTGCACCTAATTTAAGTTGCAATTCTTTCAAGAAGGGAAGCATAAAATCTCTTGATGGAGGCTTGGGCCTCACATCTGGGTCTATGTACATTGGGTCAGGCCCACCTGGAGTGGACTAAGATCAAAGGTAGCGGGAGCAAAAGCGGGCCCCGGTCGTTCCAGACGACGACCAGGCCTGGGAGCAAGCTGCACATTCCCACCGCTCATGAACGATGGGAATGGTCCTTCTTAGCACGATGATGCTTATCATAAGGCCTCTACCTTCAAAGTAAGGTTCATGCATGAAACACAACACACACAAACTCTATGAAAACCGCACAACTCTGGTTACCCATCAGGAAAACCAGCACGCACTAAACGACAAGGAAGGCGGAACGATGGTCAACATCTCCCTACTCTCATTATCTCCCTTTCTATTGACCTCCACTAGGTTAGAGTTGGTGAGGTATTGACCGGCACCTCTGGTCCTGATTTTTTTTTTCAATTTTGTGCACAACACCTTTGTTAGAAATCAGCAAAACAAACAAACCTACATGTAAGAGTTTGGACAACTCTTCCTATAGGTTTGACATGAAAATCCAAGTCTTAAGAATGAAGCATATGCAGAGCACATAAGTGCAGGAAACTTATCAAGTCTAGTTCAATAAAAAATTTCAACTTTAGCGCATCACAGAACAACAAATCCAGTAGAATCCCACAATGGTCAATAAAAATAAAAACTCCATAAATTTAAGAATAAGACAATGAAAAGAGAAATTTACTTGAAATACTGAAATTTCGTTCTGAAATACACTCTGAGCATTGACAAGAGGGCCGGTGCAGCGCTCGACGCAAGTTCCTATCTCCTCCTGCCTCCTCCTCCGGTCGAAGCACTCGTACGCGCACTTGAAGTACGATTGCTAATCATATGGAAGATCGCATCAAATCATATAAAACTTGCAGAAATTGATCAGAAAAGGAGATTAGTCGGAAACGGGGAAGCAGAGGTAACCTGGAGGGTGAAACTGACATGGTCTTCCACGCTTGAGAAATGCGTCTGTAGAGCTCTGTTGACTTCATCCAGTTTCGGCCTCAATCTCTCCGTTATTATTCGTTGTTCCGCTGAGTTGGGATCCATAGCTGGGCTCTGAAACTAGGGTTTTTTCTCTTGGAAGGTTTAGGCCTTGGATTTCTCGTTTTACATCCTCTTCTAGCTGCAACTATGGAGTACTTTTCTTTTGATCCGTTAGTCAAGAAACCAAAAAGAAAAAACAAAAAAGAAAAAGGAAAATACTCCATGCCACCCAAATTTACTAGTCAAAATCCTATACTACATACTCCGTGTTTTTAAAACTAGTGTTTTAACCCGTGCCATGCACGGGTGGAACGAAATTTTGTTATATTCTATAATTTTTTATTAAAGACAATGTTCTTTTAGATTTTGAGTTTTAGAATTTTTTTGTTGTGAAAAAAATAGTTTTTAAAGAATCTAAATCTAATTTTCTTTGGTTACATAAGTAGTAGGAAATCATTTTTTATAAAAAATGATTATATTTCCTATAGATGAATGTCCATTTTCTTTGTAATTGCTTGAGTTCTATAATTCTACTAACAAAGCAAAAAACTACTCTCATCTCGCCCCCCTTCCTTAAACCTTATAAAGCAAAGCTCTATAATAGAGATTTGATACCTATTGTGTGTGAAAATTATATAATTATGTAACCTCTAATTTTGTAAAACTTTTGATCTCGTTTTTAGATATGTATTTTTTATTATTTAACTTTACACGAATCATCATATCAAGTGAATTAAAACTAACTTTATTCAAACATCGTAACAAAGAAAATTTGTGGATGAAGAAAGTATTTATTTAAAAAAAATCATATTGTAGTTATTCAAACATCGTAACGAAGAAAATATAACTATGTCACCTCACTTTTTTTTTCTTCTTAGTTAATGACAATAAATAAAGCAAATTATAGTATCGAACTGTAGATTTTAATGGGCAATATACCATAAATATGTGATATCCGAAATTCATATATATACAAAACAAAAAGAACATGTAAAGCTATAATTTTAAATCCAAATCTTTTGGAAAACATGAGGGTATTCAATATTTTTTGTTTTGTTGCAAGGGTTACCGCTATCATCAAAAACTAACACTTTCAATTTTGTCTTTGTTTTCACTCTTGAAACTGAAACATAAAGTTGTCTTCTTTGAAACCTCAATGGTAATCAAGGATCAGATGGTACCAAATTAATTTGGAGTATGTAAACTTTCTCTCCAACATTATTTCCTAATACAATAATTGCACCGATAACATTTCTTCACAATTCTTCAACGATTTACCATGTACCATTATACGTAGTATATTATACTTGGTGATTCTCTTAGTTAAATAAATATAATTGTTATTTACTTGTTGTCCAAATTTACATAGGTTGCCCAAAAAAAAGTAAAGTGTGATAATATATTCAAGCTAAAGGGCATACTATTTAACTACACATAAAAAGAGTTTTTTTTATACGTGGTATATTATAGTTATTGATTCTCTTTTATATGTGGAGGAGCTTGAAAATATGACATGAAAAAAAGTCTAGAACTAAAACAATTTCATTAAATGTTGTTGCTTTGTAATTGGAGGGTGTTTTAAATTTTTGCTTGAATTTTTTACCACCAAGTAATACTCTGTAATATTCCGACTATCTCGTTTTTTAAAGAAAATAACATTAATCTATGTTATGAAAATATGAAGCATATAAATAGTAAAAGTATACTATATGAGTAAGGATATTGAATTTGAGTATATATTCTTCAAACATGTAAACATGCAATCTTTTTTATAATACCAAATGCCACAAAATTTTGTATTTTAAAAACTAAACAAACAGTCCAAAATTATAAATTTTAAACCGTGTGACACATAAATCAATCCAAAAAAACAATACTCTCAGGCTAACATAAAATATATATTCCTAATTTTTCTCTATTATAACGATCTTCATCTTCTTGCTCAACTCATCCCCGTCTCCATCACAATGTTCCACCTCTATCATTCTTTTGTTGACAGTAGAATCGGTGATATCGACTCCATTTTGTTCAAATTGATTATTCTTTGATTCTACAAAATCTTCAATCAAATTCTACAAGACGAAATCTCAGAAGTTAATGACTTACAAATTTTATCATCATGAATAAATGACTCACAAATTTTATCAATATACATTTTTCACTATGATGTACCAAGGTGTGTGTGTAAGAAAAGAGTGTTTTATTAAGTAGAAAAGAAGATAGTGAAACCAAATCCCCTATAAGAAGAAAATTGAAAAAAAAGGATTAAATACCTTGAAAATGTGTTGAGGGAAAAAACCAAGTAAAAAGAAAGCAGAATCCCAATAAACTATGGAGTGATAAATTATACTTCAACTAATGCAAATTATCAAAGGAGATTAGCACTGCAACATTACTAAACAAACTTTGCATCCCAAACCAATGTAGTAAAAACTTAATCTAAAAAACAAAGTTTGATTTCCTCCACCTAGTCATTATTCGTTGAACACCACTTATCTTCTCTATTTATGATTGTGCACTTCAAAGAACTCCTTTATTTTCCCCACCAGTTATTCATTGAACACCACTTATCTTCTCTATTTAAGACAAAGGTTATTACAGGAAATTGTTCCAAATATCTTATGAAGCTGCAAATATTAAAGACACAATTTAAAAAGAACAAAATGCTTTAAATTTGAGTATGAACTATTTAATTCAAATGCAATATATTTTGAGAAACAACTTGAATTATTTTTTACGGGAGTATGGATTTCAAAGCTGCAGATGCCCCAAAGTATGTTATTTAATTGGACACGTGATGTAAAGAGCTAAAATACTATTATACCATCCATCCAAAAGTATCATTCTTTAATTTAGTGATAATCTCTTAACTTTATTCTTTGGAAATTTACTTTTGATAGAAGAATCCATTTTTAAAGGGGTAGATCTCTAAAATTATATGCCTTCAAAGGATTACTATCTATAAGTAGATGATAAAATTGAAGAATATAAAACGAAAATATGAGGATTAAAAATTGAATGCATCATTTTTCTAGCAGAAAAGTTACTCAAACTAAAGAAAAGAGTAATAAGTAATGATCATTAAAGAATGTTACCTCTGATGAAACACATAAAATGTGTATTTTCTTTGCAACTAAAATACCTGTGGAAAAAAGTTTGCACTGATCAATAAATAACAAAGGAAATAGTTGTGTAAAGAATTGATGAATTTCACCTCAGTTTTTTACGTAAATGGAATAAATGCATTTTTAACAAAGACGATATTTTAAAAAATTAGCTGCAATACCTTTCTTTGAACGACACCAACATAAAAAATGTAAAGGATTGAACTATACACTCTGATTTATGTAGGCCGTCCAAGCTCTGTAAATTGATCTTGATGCACCACACACAAATGAAGAATCAAATAATGCTTTATTAAATCAAACAAATAAACAATGATTTTAAACAGTCATATTAGTAAAAACCAAGAAGGAACCTCAATCGAGAAATACCAGTTAATTGCACATTGAAAAATTGGCGTGTTGGTCGGTGGACGGTGAAGAGTGGTCTGGTGGCTCTAAGGCAACTCTCTCACACTTAAAGGGTTTCTCAGCAAAAATCTAGATTAATCAAATAATGCTTTTTTCCATTTTGTTCACTAATCTATATTAATGTGGCAGGTGTATATTATATTTAGTGAGATAATTGGGAAAAGCCAAACAATTATTAGTTACTTTCCAATTGAAGAGTTAGACATTAGGGACTTGAAAATTCTGCCAGCAAAGTTGTTAGGAAAGTGGATTTCTTTAGGTTCTAAAATGGCACTGTAAGCATATTTGAAAGAGCACTCCCCCCATTTTAGTGTATAGTGCCATTGTCCCATCTTGTGTTCTCCAAAATCCAGTAATGTACAAATCATTCTTCAACAAACAGTCATATTTTTTTAGAAACTCTCCATTATATTCCTCTTATATATGGTTTGCATAAATTTCTTCAAAGGTTGCTATCATTCCTATCAGCATTCACTGTCCACCAATTTCTACTAATTCAAATAAGGAAAATAAAAATAAGAGTAAGAAACCACAAATGAAATTCTTGGGGGAAAGTGGGTGCATGACTTTGTAACGACATCAATAGAATACATTCATGTTCTAAACTTTACTTCAACGGCAGTAGTCCAACTCTTATTTCTGTCAAACAGCACTCAAAAAATATAAAACCAAAGACACAAAAATTATATATATATATATATGTGTGTGTGTGTGTGTGTGTGTGTGTGTAATTAAAAATATTGATTTTATAGGATATGTAAAACAGGCAGCAACTATGTTTTTATAAACGCCAGACTAACGCCAGACTTTATAGTAAATATGTAAACAGGCAGCAACTATGTTTTTATAAACATGCACTAACGCAGGAATGACTTTTTAATAAACAGGCAGCAACTATGTTTTGTAAAAATATGCAACAACTACTTTTGTATAAACATGCATCATTTATGTTTTTATTGTGCTATTAGTTTAAAAATACTAATAGATATAAGACTCATTTAACCCTGAGGTTCAGTTAACAATATACATCTCAAAAAAATCAGAATCATTTTTTAATCTGCACAATCAGTGGTATCTAGTAAGTAAAATTTAGATTGCATTTTAACACTCAATCTGCATAATCAGTAGTTTCCAGGTCTATAAAAATATAATCCATACGAAAAATGTAACAACAATATCATTATATCACCAATACAATCCACACGAAAAAAAATATCATCCAAGATCCTATCCAATAATAAGAATTATGAGAAATTGACTTACATGTTCGTTCATGAACACCATCTCAATAGAATTCGTAGTCTTCTCATCATTATATATGGGTAGAGTATATAATCAATGGATGGATGGTCTTCGACATGTATAGAACAAAAAACAGTTTTGAAACCCTCGAGAAAAAAATGCATAAGGGGTGTGGTGGGTTTTCTTGAGGAGAATGTATATATGGGTAGAATATTACTCATAGAAAAAGTAATTGGCGAAAAAAATAATGTAAATACAAATAATACGATTCTAAATTAGGTATGTAATTTTGGGGCGATTCATAATCGTTCAATTTACCGGAAAATATTGGGGAAATCGAGTGTACAGAATCTGAAATAGGTAAGGATTTTGAGAGCCTCGAATCCACGAATTCACGAAGTTATGAATTGAATAAGATTTGAAGCTAGATTTGGAAACAAACCTGATTATCGAATTGACACAGAATAAACAAACCTGATTATCGAATTGACACAGAGTAAACGGAATTTGACGACGTAGATCTCAGAATTGAAGTGAAGAATCAGCGGATGTTGACTTTGGGTGAAATTTTCCTTCAGCAAAGATGTACAGTACAGCGAAGAATAAGTGCTTTTTTGGAGAAGAAGTGTTGGCCGATGGAAGAGATCAGTGCTTGCGAAGAATCCGCGGATGGAAGTTTTGGGGAAGAAGTGTTCGCGCATAGGGAGGCGAAGAATGGGCTACTGGAGCGGTTCTGCGATTTTATCGTAGGAGTGGACGAGTGTAAATTGACTTGTCCTTAAAATAAAACGTTTAAAGTGTCATGTGTCAACATTATAGGCTATCAACGCTCAAATATTATATTAAAGGATTAATTTATTTTATGAATTGGTATAAAAATAATTAATAAATTTACATATTAAAAAAATAAGTTAAATATTTTACAAAATAAGAAATAAAACAATATCGTATCATACTCCGTATCAAATAATCAATAAAAATCAACAAAAAAATACTCCGGGTATGAATAAGTACTCAAAAGTTTAAAGTTTCGCAAGCATGATATTGGTAATTCGGTATTATTATACACCCTCAGTCGCTAAATAATTTACAATTTATAAAAAACGAAGTAAAATTTCAAATTTTTACAATTCATTTTATTTAAAGATTAAAATAAAAAAAGGTTACATATTTAAAATGTATATATCAAAAATTCTACAAAAAAAAAAGAAATGCTAGGAATTTTTATTTTATCAAATAATTAATAAAAACACACAAATAAATAAATCATTATGGCACAGAAGGTACAAATTTTGGCGGAGCAGAGTCTCAGATACTCGTATGCACCAAATAACATCTAGACAATGTATTAGCAAGTAGCAACAATATCCAAATCTCAAAGCACGCATAAAAGATGCTCTATAAAAAAACCTTGATGAATTGAAATACGAATCAGGAACAGAATCCACGCATGATGCATAGATTTCACACAATTCATAAATTTTAAATAATTTTATATTTTTTTAAGTATAAATTGAATGCACCCTCTTAGATGTAAAAATAAATTGAAAGAAATGAAAAGGCACAATTATCAATTTTTTTATAAATATAGATTTAAGAATAATGTTTGCAATGGCCCATTTTGTAACATTGTTTGCACACCATTCTATCATTCATTATCCATTTCTAGACAGATAAATGAAAAATCAAAAATAGAAAAAAAGTAAATTCTATAATTCTTTATAATCATAGGATTTTCATAATTATTCTTCTATTATAAATTATTATGCATATATTCTTTTTGTATGAGTACCCTTTCATGGATAGATCGTTTTTTAACCTTCTACCATTTAATGTTAATTTGATATTTAAAAATATATTTTCACATTGATCCATATATATTTGTAGTCATACCCAAATGTGAGAGATCGGTACTGATGCCCTGTTTGTCAATTGGAGTCATTGTCTACTATAATAATAATCGATATGTGACGTCTATGATTGGAATCATAGTCCATTACCACATTCATTATTATTGTATTGTCCATCAAATCGATATCAAAATTTGTCATTGGAGATAAGGTCAATGCAAAATTATTCTTTTAGTCTTCAAATTAAAAAAAATATCCGTAAAAAAATATTTCATGAATGTAATATTTGATAATAGATACGGAGTAATTAAATATGGAATTGTATGCGAAGTGGAGTAGAATTTTAATTTGTCAATTCAAACCGTGGACGAATGGTAGTCAAAAGATCATCCACCGATACTTTTGATGCAGATAGTGAAACCTAGGAGCTATAATGGTATGCCTATTAAGAATTCTCTTTACACTATTCCTTATTCGAAATTTGTTCAAGATTAACGATTTCGAATAATTAAATTTCATAAAAAGTCACTGTTTCTACCTTTTAAAATGTGAGTAAAGTTGTGGTTAATGAATAGAGTAAGTTAATACTATTTTTTTTATTTATGGTTTTGATCTAATTACTGAATAAATTTTCTGTTTATTATCATGCGTTGGAGATAATTTATCTCAAACGTGTAGCATCATATCGACGTAATTTGGACCAAAGGCTGATCCACGAAATATGGATATGACAATAATATCCATTCAGATCTCAAGGCTATGAAAATTGTAAGATAATTAATTATACTCAAAAAAAATGGAAAAAGATAATAAAATAAAATTTAAGTAAGCTCCATGAAATTATTTGAAAAAATCTTTAAAAGTATATAAATATACTTTTTTGTGATGTTGATATTAAACTTAAAATTTAAATTTATTTTTAAAATTTTCATACTTTGTCTAATATTAAATGTAACGAGGAATTAATGGAATAATGTAAGACTAGATAAATATTTCTAATTATGCGCGAAAATAATATAATACTGAAAATGATATAAGTATGTAACTTCAATGAACTACAATATAATATATATGAATGAAACTAAAGAGGAAAATTTTTCTTATGTTCTTTAATAATATACTTCTTCCGTCCCAAAATGATTTACACGTTTCATAAAATCCTTGTCCCATAAAGAACTACACATTTTTCCTAAAAAAGACATTTCTATCCTTAAACCTAATTTCTACCCAACCCTCAAACCCCATCCACCGTATGTGCTCTAACCTACCCATCCCCTCACACATTCATCATTTCTTCTCTATCTCTCTCTTGCTTTACACTATTCATGACTTGATTGAATTTCTACTTTTAAATTAGGGTGAAGGGTAAAGTGGGGAAGTCAATGGAAAAAATTGGTTCTCTTATTTTACTAAAAAGTCAAAATGGGTAACACTTAATGGGACGGAGGGAGTATAACACATGTACTCCCTTGGGAGTATAACATTTTGCAGAAGAGATATTATGGGATGATTAGTGATGTGGTTGAGATTGAAAACACAGTTAAATGGTGCTAACTTGGTTGTAAGGCATGCAACAGTAAGATTGTGTCACATGGTTCACGATTTAAATGCAAGAGAGATTATCCCGATGGAGTGCATAGGTTATAAAATTTATATTTTTTAATTTTAATAAATTAATTAATGACAATTTAAAATTTGAATAAAAATGTACATTTTATTTGATATGTACAAGATCAGTGTCTGTGTTATTGACAACTCGGATAGTGCTTCTTTTATAGTTTGGGATAAGGAATGTGTCAAACTTTTTAGTATGCACAAACTAGCGCGATGAGAACATTGGTCTGTAAGGTATGGAAATTCAAATAAAATGTTTTTAGTAGGTACTTTAAAAAAATATTTGCTTAATGTAATGTGCTAATTTATATCCATGAATGTCATAGCAGCATGGTACATTTATTTCTTTTTATAGTAACACCAATATAAATTTATAACGTAAATATGCATCGTGCAATGCACGGGTGTAATACTAGTTATTGTATTGTCCATTAAATCGATATCAAAATTTGTCATTGGAGATAAGGTCAATGCAAAATTATTCTTTTAGTCTTCAAATTAAAAAAAATATCCGTAAAAAAATATTTCATGAATGTAATATTTGATAATAGATACGAAGTAATTAAATATGGAATTGTATGCGAAGTGGAGTAGAATTTTGATTTGTCAATTCAAACCGTGGACAAATGGTAGTCAGAAGATCATCAAGGCCAGCCCAACCCAGCCGGGCCAGCCCACACTATCCTAGGGTTTTCTCTATTGGTAATTTGGTGTATAAAAACCACCATCTTCTACCTCGCTTACATCTCACCTCGGAGCAGTCATCTACTCCACGCAGCCGCCGGCGATACCCTTCCCATTTCTCGTTATATTTTGTCTCTATTAATGTTTTATTAAAAAAATCCCGCTTTCCCGAATGTATTTGTGATTGAAAAAGCCAATTTGCAGAGCAAGAGCGTCTCATTAATGGCGGATTACTTGCATTGAAGGTTGGCGATATCGTAAAGCGATTCTCCGTGCCTTTCAAACTCTTTTCGTTTTGATTACGGCCTCGAACAAATCGCAACATTCCTCTTTTCTCTCTATCTTTTTACCGGAACAACGAATATGCATCGGCGATGGCGTCGTTAAGATCAAATTTCCGACGCCGGACTCGAATTGCATGAAATCGAAAGCTGTGCGAAATCAGCGGCGGCCAGACAACCGTTGAGATGTATCCACAGATGAGTGATCTCTGAAAGGCACTTGTCTACTAAATTCATCTCACATTTTCCTTTCAATTTTTAATTTTTTTTAAATGTTATGAAAATTTTCATTAGTTTCAACATATTTCTTTATTTCCATTCCAATACTACTTTGTCTAATGACTAATCCAAATTATGTTTCTTTATAATATCTAAACTGCTACGCGTTTTTACACGATGAATTGCATGAGTAAGTGACCATGGAAAATCATGATTAAATGAGCAAATTAGAAGGGCTATTGACCTGAACAAGAAGAGCAATGCGGTTAAATTCAAATCTGAAGCATAACAAATCAGTGCCAATTTTGAATCATAAGGAAGCTATGATAATAAACGTATGCCATTTGCCAAACATGAATCTTATTTTAGTCATTATTTAATTAAATATTTAGTATTCCTTCTATTTACTATATATCTTCTCAGATAATATTCACAGGTCAAATTTTACTCACTTTGTTTGCTCCTTTTTACTAGTCATTTCATAAAATAATAGTCTTGTTATTTCTACTTTTGTAGAACTTTTCATGTTTATTATTCTATAAATTTTATTTTAAAATTTTATTTCTATAATCAATTAATGAAAAGATCTTATATGGATGGAAGGAGTATTATTTGGACATTATTTTTATCATTAATTATTATTGAGTTTTATTTAGAGAATAAAAAAATTTAATTCTTATGTTAAGAAATGAATTATATTTTAGTTCTATTCAATGCATGCATTTCTTAAATAGTTGGTTCGTTCATGAGTATTTGTTTATTTTTTACTTTTAGAACTGTTCATCTAAGCATTTTGACTTATTAAATTATCTCAATGTGTAAGTCTAAAAACAATCATCTGTGATCTTGTTTAATTTGTTTTAATATATAGATTTTTAATATATAATTTTTATAATTTTTTAATATACAAATTACAAGATAAAATGGATTAAAAAAGTACATTGGATGGTGTGTAAAAATGAAAGTAGACAAACACTCAGGGACGGAGGGAGGAGGGAGTATGTAAAATAATAGTTTCAAGTATTTATCTTAAGTACAGTAATTTAAAAACAAAAATGTAAATGAACAAGACTCAATTCAAGAATTCATTTTTTAACATATATTTCTTCTGTTTCACTATATTTGTTCATTTTTATTTTTTCATATCATCTAATATCCTTCTTTAATTTATTTTATCTTATAATTTGTATATTAAAAAATTATAGAAATTATATATTAATAATCTATATGTTAAGACAAATCAAACAAGATCATGTATAACTATATTTAGATTTATGCATTGAGAGAATTTGATAAGTCATAGTGCTTAGATTAATAATTTCAAAAGTCAAAAGTGGACGAATATAGTGTGACGGAGGGAGTAGTAATTGTTAGTAACATGACCACGATCTATTCCAACATGCGCATGTAACATTTCTCCCTTTGAATCAAATGGAACAAAAGAAAGTGACTAAGAAAGATATGATATGGGGAAAGGATAAATTTCAGCAACGGTATATAAATTTTGTTGTAATTTTGAAGTGGTATTTAATTTTAAATTCTTTCACAAAAATTTTTGAATTTACACAATTCTTTCACTAAAAGTTATTTGTCTGATTTTATGTTAATTTCTGGTCATTTAGGTCAAATTAGAATTTTATATGTAGTATTTTAATATTTTCAATTTGATCTCATTTTTTTTCTTTTCTTTTGCTCTCTGCCGTTGTGCACCAAGTTAAGGTTGCCAGAAAATCAACCTGGTCAGATTCTGGCTAGACCAATACCGTTCTCTTCGTCTTGAGATGAGGATCAAGATTATTTATATCATTTTGTCTAATTTGGCTTGTAACTCTTCGTATTTGAATTTTTTCTCTTAAAAAAATCCTAACATTTGAAATTGGAGGTTTTTACAAATCGTCATCAAATCTTGCAATTGAGGTGTTCTTGGGGGTCACTGAAATGCCATGAATACTTTGGAGGGGACGAGCGACGTCAATTTTGCCGGTGGTGGTCGGTACATGCTCCAACCCGTCTGAAAACACCACCTCTTTCTGGCGGGTTGGAGCGTATTTCAGCCACCTCCGGCAAAATTGACGTCGCTCATCCACTCCAAAGTGTTCGTGGCATCTCGGCGACTCCTAAGGACCCCTCAATTGCAAGATTTGATGACGATTTGCAAAGCCCCCTAATTTCGAATTTTAGGGTTTTTTCGAGGGGAAAATTCAAATTCAAGGAGTTGCAATCCAAATTGGACAAAATGATTTGGATATTCTTGATCCTCATCTCAAGACGAAGAAAAAGGCGTTGGTCCAACCGGAATCTGACGAGGTTGATTTTCTGGCGATTTTGACGTGGTGCGACGGTAGCGGGGAGCGGAAGAAAAGAAATGGGGTCAAATTGAAAATTTTAAAATATATAAAAATTCTAATTTGGCTTAAATGACCGGAAGTTAACCTAGAAACGGGCAAATAGACTTTTAGTGAAAGAATTGTGTAAATTCAGGGATTTTTGTGAAAGAATTTGAAGTTTAGTTACCTATTCGAAATTCCAGCTAAAGTTCTGATACTATTGGTGAAATTTATCCCGGGAAGTACTATTTTTATTGGACATGATCTGCATCATTGTATCCACACATATATAACCAAATAAAACCACACAATCACTCAAGTATCAGATATTGAGAGCCAAACAACAACCTCAAAATGGTTAAAACCAAAATGTCAACCTTTAAAAAGAATAAGAAAGAAATCCAATCACACAAATCTGTTAAATGGCTTCCTCCCACCACCACCAGCTGCAGACATAGAAACAATGGAATCCAAACTCACACTATCTCCACCATGTTTCTCGGCTTCGCTTTCGACATTACTCTGCGGGGTTAAAGGATAAGAAAACCTCCTCTTTGATGATTCACCCATCAGGTGACTATCACTATTCCTCTCCTTGGCTTTGGCTTTGGCTTTGGCTGAAGCAGTTGGTGCCATGTAACTTGGAACCGAAAACGGAGGACAGCTTGTCAAGCTGCTAGAGCTGCTTGGAGGCCGCGGCATTTTATCTTCAAACTGTTTGCTTCCCATTGGAGCAGCTGATTTTGTTGATGTTGGTGTTGGGAGGGCATTTTTGTCAGAACACTCGCGCCGATCATCCAACCAACTCCACCATATTATGGTGGGATACAAACCCCATCTCTGGCTATTGCCTTTCTGCAAAGAATCATATATATATGTATACTTGTTAAGAGATTCACTCATTCATATATAGTAAAACAGAAGCCCTATATTATAGGCTAACCTGATGATGATGATGATTGGAATATGCATAAGCCATGGCTCTTTCCCTCTTGGCAATTGCCTCCACTTTTCTTCGCCCCCTCCGTTCTATTTCATCTTTGGTTAGAACACTATCATCCCAATTCTCAGTGTTACCTGCACCGGTCTAAACCAAACAAACACATCATTGTTAGTTAAAGCCTTGGGGACGAGTAAACGTTGGTTTGTTGTCTCATACTTAGCCATTCAAAGAAGAGGAATGGAAACAGATTACCAGTTGTGTCCAATTGCTTGCGGCGCTATTGCCATTCTTGAAAACTTGGAACTGAAGTGCCTGGTTTTCCAGCATTTGGACCCTTCGGCATTGAACCTGCGTTTGAACGCTAACCATAAACTGCATTTGTTTAAGGGCATTCAAGCTCTGCTTCTTCACATTATTTCCTCCCATCACTCCTTTGAGCCTCACTAAGCCTCTCAAAGCTCTCAAACTCCTCCTCGCCTGTTCTCTCATCACGCGCCAAAACGCACAAATGTCACAAAAAAAAAATACTCTGGGTAATAAATAAACCTCTCAAAGTAGAGCATATTACCATATAGCCTCTAAAGGCAGTTTGGATCATGATAGCCTTGGCATGAAGCACTTCTAAAGCCGGTTCTGGTCTATGCACATAACGGTTATCTTCTTTGTGTTTCCTCCTTGCCTTAGATGAAGTAGCTCTAGGGGAAGCAGCCCTTTGAGATGTCACCCTATAAGGAGTAGGAGAAGTACATACATACACATACTTGTAACTTCTTTACATGTTCAAGAATCAATTTTTTAAAAGTTTTATACTCTAACACGCCTCCTAAGGTGCAGACAAGATATTTTAACATGGCTCCGATACTATGTCAAAGAAACAAGTCAACCAAAAGCTCAAACTTGTGGTTTTAGGTACAGGAAAGGTTTTATACTCTAAAGTAGGGGAAAGTTGGGGTACCTCGGAGAAGTAGCAGGTCGGGGCGAAGTGATGTTTGGAGAAAATTTTGGTTGGGGATTAAAAAGCAGTCTGTGTTCATCATCTGCAGCTGCCTCCTCCAATATCTTCTCAATACTGCTTGGTTCTCTCAAGAGTGGAATAAATGATTTGCTCTCTCCATGCCTCTTTCCCTTCTTTGCCTTTGATTTTTTCTTCTGTGAAACATGGAACCAAATCATGCATGCAAGTTTGTAAGATCATGAGATTTGTAGATAAGAATTCTCAATGAATTAATTATGTCTTTAATGATATAACACTATATATACATATAGGGAAGCAATCCACTCACACTAACTTCCTTGTCCTTGGAAGATTTGGGTGTGAAAAGTCTTTTGATTGCAGAAAACCAACTGCCTTTCTTTCCCATTTCACCCTGAAAAAAAATCAAAATAAAGAGAAACAGGGTGAAAAAAGTTGGACTTGCAGAGACACAAAACACATAGTTACAGAAACAAAATCAAAGGATTTATTCAACATATGCAGATGAATTTACCCATAAAATGAAAAGGGGAGAAATTCCCACCAAATATCAGAAAGAAGAAGAAGAAGAAAGCTGCAATCAACCCAAAAGTAAAAGTCCCAAGTCCCAACAACTCTTTCTTTCTTTTCTTTTTTTCCTTCTTCTCAGGTTGTTCAAAGCTGCCTAACAATGTTTCTTTTTTCTTCTCTTTTTTCTTGTGAGGAATGTGTGTTTTTGTGTTTGTTGTAATTACCTATCTGGGCTTAGCTTAGCTTAGCTTATTTCTAATTCTCCATTCTTTCACCTTAAAGAGGAGTTCTTGTACATGACAGCTCTCCATTCTTTATGGGGAAAAATGATGAAAGGTGGGGAAGGTGGGGCCCTATTGGATGCGGCAGATCAGGTGTTGGAAGGGGAGGAGAGAGGGGTTGGCCGCCTTCTCACTCAATAACCCCCCCCCCCCCCCACCTTAGTTGGACTGCTTCAACTACCTTTACTTTAACAACAAGACTTAAAGAATTTACATTTTTTGTTTCCTCTCTCCTCCCAAAAAAATGTCTCATTTTTTATTTTATTTTATTTTTTAAATTTGTGGCTAATATAGTTTCTTTTTTCATTTGTGTCACTTTTGATCATAAAATTTTACTTTTTAAATTTTCATGTCAAGTCAAACGCAAAACTTTTTTATGAGACTAAGGGATTATATATATCATTTCTCTTTTTGCAAAGTCTCAGAATTGAGGTTTCATTTCTTTTGTAAATTATACTCTATATTTCTTTTGCACGAATTTCAATTATATAATTTCACTTTTTTATTCAAACCACGTAAAGAAACAAATGAAAACTTGATTAAATGAAAAAAAAGAAAAAAAACTTATCCTCCTTTTTCTGGTTTTCTTTTCCTTTTATGTTTTGTTTTATAGCTCTAACAACATCCACAAGGTTCCCACCATTATGTTAGGTGAACTACTCATCAGTGGACCATATTATCATTTCTTTTGGTATATTGTTTGTTTGGTGGTTTAGAGGGTAATCTGCAGAACTTTGCAATACCACAATTTATATTTACACCATCCCCACACTCCCTGGCAAGGGCAATAGTGTCCTTGGCTTTTGAGTAAACCATTAACCATAATCCAAAATCACAACAGACAGTCCTAATGAAGAAGTGCACCAGATACAGTTCTTGTAGATAAAGTGAAAAACAAAAAGGCAAAGAAGAAGAAGAAAGCTCAATAGGATGGGAATCAAAAAGTATACTCCGTATTTAACACTCAAAGCATTTATGAAGCAAATGCCAATGTTCAAGAAGATCATACCTATACCAGAAATAGAAAATACAAATCTGCCTTGATAAATTAACAGAATAATAAACTTGTGCCATCAGCAGATTAAAAAAAACAATACAACACGAAAAAAAGATTCCAGTTTTTGCAGAAGCTAAGATAATCGTCGCATTCTTTCCTTGGAATCATCAGAGCCACACACTGTCTTCAGTCTTCACCTACAGTCAACCATAAGTTAAAATGTTCCACCAGCAAAAAGAGTAAAGAAAGTTTAGTCTTTAGTTCGCGGCTATTAGATCGATGATGAATGGAGGAAAATTGCTCACGGCCCATGAGAAATCTTTGGTTTAACCGAATTTCTTAGTTTAAACCTTACAAGATAAAAGCATGCATGGTTTGGCATACCCTTTCATTTTTCAAGTGCCATTTGATGAAAGTCTCTGCCTTTTTACTAGCTGTCAGGTTCTGGATTTTGCCAGTTCCAACCAGTGCCACCAGCTTTGCGTTCCCCACGCTTTCTTTTGCTGGTGGTAGTAGGAAAAGGGACTTCAGGGCCCACAAACGGCCTCAAAGTCAGTTGGTCCTGGGAAGTACCACAGGCTATACTTGGTTGTGGTACTGAGGCAGTAACCGGATTGGCGCTCTCTGCTGCAATATTTTTCTCCATGGATGATGATGATGGTTCATGATTTATCTTCATCAAAAGAGACCCTTCTTCTACTTCAGATGCTTCATTTTGCACCAAGATGTTATCCACAATCTACAAATGTCAAATGTCATGAAATTAGTGACTCTTTGGAAAGCTTAAAGCTAAGAATCTAAGAATAAAGCTCAAGAATCTTACTTTTTCGCTGGAATCTCCGACCTGACCGTGATGATGCTGGGAAGCATCAACAAAAGACAAAAACCCAGTGCTACTTTCTACAATATCTGGAGGATTATTATTAGCGTCTCCAAAGCTCGAAATAGCACAATCATGCATGATGGAATCTCCTCCAAATTCATTGACAGATACATGTTGAACATGCGGCGTGTATAGACATCCTACAGACATTGTCTCCCCATTGCAAGCAGAGAAAGTTGTAGTGTTACGGACAGAGCTGTCCTGCGCCTCATAAAACCCACCACCACCACACAGGTTGCTCAGATTCTCAGAGGAAGAGAACTTCAAAGAATTCTTTTCCATCATTGAATCAAGTTCAGCAGTCAGCTTATGAACCCGTGTGTAGAGCTGTTCAATTTTCCTTAGGACCTGTTCTGGTAAATCTTGATTGCCTTTTAGAATTGACAAATCATCACTGACCAACTCTTCATGGGCACTGCCATTCTGTTCTACCAACACTGTTTCAGAATGGAAACAAGTTAAATTTATCTCTAGAGTCCAGCCGGTGATGAAAAATTAAAGTATGAAAATCTTCCCAACTGTAGGCTATGGGGCAGAATACAAACCTATGGTGTCATGATGCACCCTCAAACAATAGGAGGTATACGAGAGAGACATGGACGTGTCCAAGTAGGTTGGGGCCCTCATCAAAATGTATGCAGAAGGTTATATTCCTAAACAAAAGCACCAAGGCTTCAAAGTTCTTTTTTTTTTGTGCTAAAAACTGGTTTGTCATGATTGTATGCAACCTTTTAATATGAATGGCCTCCTAACTGTAACTTGTGAGACACCACAATAGATTAATCGTGTGTAAATGAATGCTACAATACACAATGCTTAGCAAGACACATGATTTTGACAAATCAAACATGTGATGGGCATCATTCACAGTTTCATTACTTTCAGAACAATTGAACATGTATGGTAAGTAGTCTTATAATGCCAATTGAAAACACAATGAGCCATTGACTGTAAAAAACAAGCATCAACTAAGGAAATAAGGAATGGTCTTTCTAAAGAAATAACAATTTTATGAGTAAGTAGCCATGCAAAGAGTCCACAAAATCTAAACATACCTACACTCAAATCATCCCCTGCAGAGGCACCGTCTGGGTCAGATTTCTTGTTTTCTGTAAGAAAAACGCGTCAAAAGAAAAATACTTGTTTATTGAGGAAAGAAAATAAATTGCACCTTGAAGAAGTGAAAGAGAAACAAATCATAATACCAAAGTAAGAGAAAAGCTTATGGTTTGACATATACGATGATACATCAGTTCCTTCGGCTCTTTTTCTTTTCCTCCTCTTCATGGCCTTCCTCTTCTCGCTTTGATGAATGTATGGTATTGCTTTTGATCCACAATCTTCTAGCAAGACTTGATCTAACACCTTATGTTTCCCCCTATCATATTTAGACATCACCCTGTCATATTTTTTTGCCTGTGACTTAAATTCTCTTAGTTTCACTTCTACCCACTTGCATCGCCACATTAGAGGACTTATAAAGTTTCTCCAGTGACTGGTCAACCTTTTCTTCCTGAAAAAAGAAATGCTTCAATAATCACTCTATAAATTCAAACTGATTTACAGGATGAGATAATTCAATAACATTGAACCTTGATATATTTTGCAATAAGTGCAAAATAAACAAGGACTAATTGAACACTTCATCTCCCGGGTAGCGAAGAAGAATAGACAATCATACATGCATTCATATATGTAAGTATAAAACAATACCTCATTGGGAAGAGACATCCAAACCCATCAAAAGGAGAACCAAAGTCGCTTTCATTGCCGAAATGGGAATCAGCTTCAGCATCACTTGGGCCAGAAATGTTACCGTTCAAAGATGTTGAGTCTGCAAATGAGCTCGAGTATTCTGTCTCATCTGGATCTTCCTTTGTAAGAATTCCAGGGACACTGTTTCTTGCATACCCGGTCACATCAACAGCAACACCACCACCCAATTCATTTGATGTTGTGCCTTTGTTTTTCTTGTCTAAGTTCCCTTCCATATGGGAGATTCTTTGTTTAAACCCTCCTCTTATTCATTCCGAATCATTCCTTTCAAGATGCAATTTTGAAACAAAACTTTCTTGTTAGGCCAGGAAGAACTTTTCCCTGCAAACCATTTAGATGGATGGGGTATTTGTTTTGTCGGGCAAGGGGAGAAAGCGAAACTAATCAATGCAACAAAAAGACCATCACAATTCTATACCTTATACAATATAAGATCAATTCAAATCGAACCCGGGAATTGAACAACACCTGGAAAACACTAAGGCAAATAAACAATACTGATTCACAACTACTCCTCACATTGGGCAGAATATATTAACAAGGAAAGAAAATGCTGAGAAACAGAAGTTACAACACAGCCCATACAAAAAGAAAAACCAGAAACAGATGTAATCATTAAAAACTCCAATCAAGACCTTTCCACAAACAAACAAACATAGATAAACTCGAAAGTGAAATCCAATTCCCCTAGTTTTTTCGGGCACCCAAACAACCATTTTAGCTCAATCTTTCATAACAATAACAAAAATGCCCGTATAGAAAGATCTCTAGACACAGTTCGGAATCTCCACAAGCAAGCAAGCAAGAAACCCCAAATTGAATACAGGAACAAACAGGAGCATATAATTGAGAAAAAAGATGGCATCCAGTGGGGGAAGAAAAAAAGAAAGAAAGCTAAAATTCGGAGTGTGTGTGAGGGAGGCAGTAAGCATTGAGTTGGGCAATTTGGCTTACCAGTGAGAGGTTGCGGTCGGCGGCGACAACAAAGAAGAAGAGGGTTGGGAATAAGTGGACGTTATGTAGTGTATCCGGAGCATTTATTGTACAAGTAGTATTTTTACATATACATATTCTAATTTTTGACATTTTATAAATATAATTATATTTGTTTTAATTTTCTAATAATAATTTTTATGTTTGACTTTAGGATTTTATTCTTTTCAATATTTTGGTTTAAAATTCTATTATTTTAATATTTGAACATTTAACTTTTTTTAAAATATTTTTTCTCATGTAATGCTTTCAGTTGGGCTCCATACCCAATTTTGACATTTAACTAATTTTGCTCTATTTACTTTGTTGAAAAAATATAATAAAAAAATACTATAGTACAATGAAAGTTTTGAAATAAATTATATAGTTAATAACGATGCATACATGTTATTCATTTATATAAGAGTTTTTTTATAATTAATAAAATAAAGTAAGAGGTGGATGGTTTTGAAACTTAGAGAGTTAAAGCAGAGGAAATGGGTGTGACGCCTACTAGCGTCAACCCTGATTTTATCGCTCGGGACGTTAAGCACCGCCACCTAGGGGTTCAAACGGGCGTCACTCCCTCAGCGTCAGACTTTAACGCGACGCTCCCCTCCCTCAACGGCTAAAAACGACTACTTTAGTTGTTAAACCAAAAAAAAAAATCTAAATTAAAAAAACCTATAAGTTCCTCAAAACAAACCTATCTCTCACACATCTCTCACTATCTTCTCTCTAAAATTTTATCAATCTTTCAAATATTTGATTATTTTTTATAAATATTTATAAAATATATTTTAAAAATGGGATCATCTTTATCCGATGATGAAAAAAAGCTCTCATTTTTTCGTTGTTTCGCCAGGACTTGTAGTGTTATTTTTTATGCATGTAATATTTTTTTAATGAATATACCTTTTTTTATGAATGTACTTTTTTATGAATGTAATATTTTGTTAATGAATGTAATTTTTTATGCACTATTCTCTTTTCGATTATTTTAAATAATTAAATAATTAAGATTTATTATTTTAAATTTAGAAGATGTATATTTAAAATATAAAAAATGAAGGTTTGAAGCCCTTGTTTGAAACCTCGGGGCTTCAAATTCATTTTACTAAATATGTGATGTAAGTTAAAGTTGACGTGGAAGAGATAGAAATTTTGAAAAGAGTGCCTAGTTTAATAAGTGAAGATATGAAAAGAGTGCAAGGGAGTGTGACTCAGTTGGTAAGACAAGTGGTCTAAAAAGGAGTAAGGGCTGTTTGTTTCGGCCTCTTAATGGTTCAGATGTCTGAATGGTTCAGCACTTAATGGTTCAGACTGTTTGTTTCAGCCTCCTAATGGTTTAGATGTCTGAATGGTTCAGACATTTGCCTCTGAATGGTTAAGTATTATATAGAGTCTGAATGGTTAAGACCTCTTATCTGAATTGATCATACATTTACCTCTGAATAGTTAAGCAGTATACTAGCTCTTAATGGTGGGAGAATGAACAAACTAGGAGTAAAACATATGTCATATCCTCAAAATAAGATTTCAAACTTAAATTCCTCTAAATAGGAGTAATTAACTTAATTAATAAAACAAAAAAAATGCTCCCCACAGTCCCACACCCGCTGCATTTGCGGCCCTTTTTAGCAGTGTTTTATTCTTTCTCAATGCATGGCTGCCCTTTTTAATATCCAGTTGGTAAGTTATAATGTACGGAGTATTGTAGAGAAAAATGCAAAAGTTAATGTTAACCACATAAATAAAACGGCTTGCTTTATTTGAATCACCCTTGCCGCAATTGTAGAGAAAAAGGCAAAAGTTAATGTTAACGCCCACTGCCGCAATCGTCGTCGACAGTGATGCCCACCGCCGCCATCGTCGCCGCTGTATACCTGTCACTAAGAATCACCATCACCGTCGTCCTCTGCTCCGCTCCACCGCACCGCTACAAACGAAACCTACCAATTTTTCATCGTCACCACTGACGACATCACTGCTCTATACCATTATCAACAACACTACCATCACAATCCGCACCCTCGTCGCCATAGTGCTACATTAACAGCCAATACAGTGTAAAAGAAAGACATAATGTCAAACATGACACCGTATAGTGTCACATATGACAATATATAATACCATATATGCCCATATATAATGCCACATATGCTTATATATAATGTCACAATGTTACACAATGACATAATGCCAAACCAAATCCAATGCCCTCCACGATCGCCAGTGAGAATTTTGAAGAAAATAGAATTCAATTAAAGATCGAGAGAAAATGCTCACTTTTGGAATCATGCTTTGAGGAAGAGAGATAGGGATGGGCAGCGTGATATAAGTGCGGCTATGAATCTAAGCGTGGTGGGGTGCATGACAGAGTTGATCATATTACTTTATCTTCTCATTCATTGCCTTCTCCGCCGTTTTTTATTAATTATTTTAAAAAAAAAAGAATTGAAGAAGACGGAGAAAATGAAACCCTAACAAACTTTAGGGCTAATTATAAATAGTACTATTATTCCACATTAATAATAAAATTTGCAAAACATATTCTTTATATTAAAAATTAATAGAATTTGTGTGATTATAGTTTAAAAAATAATGTTGACCATAAAATCTTTATTTTAAAAAGATTTAAAAAAATGAAATAAAATATCATGACAAACCAAATCGGAACTAAAATTTAGTACCTTGGTATGGGTCATCTGCCTTCCTACTTTTATACATCTACAAATTGGAAAGATGTTCATAAACGAGGAAATTAATTAATCACAATAATATATACTTAAGGTAAATATAAATCCATAAAAATACAATAAAGATGAGGTTTTTCTAAAACAAATTAATATATATATATATATATATATATATATATATATATATATATATATATATATATATATATATATATATACTTGGAGGTGACTCTTGACATGAGCTATGCTAAGGCCTTTGATGTTCATCAATTGAAGAACAAGCTTTGATGTGGCTACTATAACAATAATAAAAACACACACACAGTTATTAAAAAATGGATGGTAGCCCATTTGCATCTATTCATATTATACTCTGTAATGGATATTATATTAAATTATAATTTCTATTTTTTCCATGCTCTTTGTACGGTCAAGAATAATTGATCAAATACAGTGCGGTTAGGATAACATCATCATCACTCATTACTTATTTAATTACTCATATTTAGAGGAGTTTAAGTTTGAACTCCTAATATGAAGACATGACATATGTTTTACTCCTATTTAGGGAGTTTTCTTCTTAATGGTTCAGACCTCTTACTGGTTCAGCACTTAATGATTCAGACCTCTTACTGGTTCAGCACTTATCTATTCAAAAGTTGCCAAATAGCCCCTAAGTTTCAAGTTCGATTATTGACAACTGCATTCAGGGACAACTATGTTAAACAAAAAGTTTCTCCAAGTAATTAGTACAAGGTCTATTATTTACCCGTCACTTTATGGTTAAAACTCAGTTTACTTTTCCTAAAATGATTGTCTGACAGTTCTGAGAATGCTCTCGTATATGGACTCGAAAAATAAAAAAAGCTGATGGAACTAAAAAAAGAAATGAGTAAAATTATAAATACAAATAAAGGGGTAATGGATGCCCCTTCTGGTTTACAAAAAGTGCACCAAAACCCTCCCTACTTTCAAAAGTTATTTGTAAAACCCCTGCGGTTTTTAAAAAGTGCACAAACACTCCCTCTTCCCTATTTTAGATATGAATTGACATTTCTTCTCTTGGTTTTTCTCAATATTCAAATTTCACTCTTTTCTTTACATTTTTATACAAATAAATAAAATAAAATATACGCCCTCCTTCTCAAATTAAAAATTTTCATTTATTTAATTTTCAATTTTTTTTAGAAAATGTTACAAAGATGAAATAAAATACACTTTTTCATTATAAGTAAAAGTAAAATAAATAAAATAAAATATTGGATAACATATACTCACTCTATCTCTAATTAAAAATTCTAACTTATTTGTTTTTTAAAAGTAAAATAATTTTTTAAGGACTTTAAAAAATGAAGAACAGAAAGATGAAATAAAATATGGAGTTAAAGAAAAATACTATTTTTTATATATTTATTTCTTTTCATTACCTTTCCTAACTATTACGGAGTATTACTTTTTACTTTGTACATAATATTTTGTTTTTCATTTTTTGGTAACATTCTCCAAAAAATCTTTTGTTTTCAAAAGTACATTATGAATATTCTAATTTGAGATGGGAAGCGTATATTTTATATTATATATTTGTATAATAAAGGAAATTGAAATCAGAAAATTTAAAGATTGGGGAAAACAAAGGGTATAAATGTCAATTTTGCTTTAAAAATAGGTAAAAGGGGCATGTGTGCCCTATTTAGAAACCACATAGACTTTACAAATAACTTTTGAAAACAGAAGGGATTTTAACACACTTTTTGTAAACCATAGGAGGCACCCATGCTATTAACCCCTACAAACAAAACTAGAGAAAGGTCAACGTTTGGGTGGGGAGATACAATGTACTCCTTTTATCTAAAAAAGAATATTATAATGTGACTTTTTTGGTCAAATTATATAACCTAAAATATGGAAAAAATATTTTATTATAATAAATATTTAGTAAAATTTGGGTTCATTTTTTTCATGGAGTGTGCCGGACCAAGGAAGTAGTGCAAGTCCAAGGCAAAACGTGAAAGCCCAAGCCGCAAGCTACTTTGATGGGCCTTCTCCCACAAAAAGTTGAGTTAATATCGTGCGGGTTCATTTTTTTTCATGGGGTGTGCGGGGCCAAGGAAGTAGTGCAAACCCGAGGCTGAAAAGTCCAAGCCGCAAGCTACTTTGATGAGCCTTCCCCCTCAAAAAATTGTGTTAATATCTTGTGGGTTCCTTTTTTTCATTGGGTGTGCCGGGCCAAGGAAGTAGTGCAAGTCCAAGACGGAACGTGAAAGCCCAAGCCGTAAGCTACTTTCATGGGCCTTCCTCCTCAAAAAAATTGAGTAAATATCGTGTGGGTTCTTTTTAAAATATTGTTTGATATATATCAATTTTTTTAAATATTTAATTATTTAACACTAAAATTTATTAGTAATTACAATATTATACAATTTGAAAAAGGAGTCTAAATGTCAAATTGTAATAATCCTTTTTTAGGAAAAGAATATTAATAAGGTTGAACCTCTAGTTTGGACGCCCATACACCCCAGTCCGGCGAGATAGTGAGAGGATAAATTATGGTATAATATAAATATGGTTGTTAGAGAGGTCACATTGTGTCCAGTGCCTATAAAAAAATTATTACAAATAATAAAACTCTCATGCAATCCAACTAGAACTTCGAAAGAATATTAATAAGAGTGCACTGTGTAAGCGTTGAAGTGTAAATAACACAACCCCAAAAAGTCAGAGTATTGATTTGAAAAATCCAAAAAGGGGTCCTACCAAAGAAAGTTAAACCATGAGTCGCTCATCCATGAGATCAGGCCACGTATTATTTCGTTTTGGAGTTTGAGAGAATATCAAGATGTATGATGTTGAGTAATACGTAGTAAAAAATTCTTGGTCCGTCCTTGAGTGCTTGTCCACTTTTGACTTTTGGAACTATTCATCTAAGCATTTTGACTTATAAAACTCTCTCAATGTGTAAGCCTAAAAATAGTCATGTGTGATCTTGTTTGATTCGTCTTAACATATAGATTATTAGTATATAATTTTTTAATATACAAATTACAAGATAAAATGGATTAAAGAAGTGCATTGAATGGTGTGCAAAAATGAAAGTGGACAAACACTCAGGGACGGAGGGAGTATGCGTTAATGTGAGTATGAATAAATGTAATGAAAGATAAATATATGTTAAATTTTAATAGATTGAAATATAAAAATAAAAAAGGAGGAATAGGGTCAATGCCCATGAGGGCCGTCACTAGAAGAAAGGTAATATCCTGTCACAAAATTGGTGTTGTGGAAGATGAACGTGACGGAGGGTGGAAAAGTCCCTCGTTACGCCTCACAACACATAGCCTCAAGACCATTGTAGCCTTCATCAGCGTGTTAAAATCATTCCCTTGAATAAATTTTTGATTAAATAGTTGATTTTATTTCTTGTAAATTAATTCATTTTTATTTTTTAATCGAGTATATAAAAAAAATTTGAGGGGAAAACTTTTGTGACAATTAAAATATTAAAATAAACTAAAAGAGGTGTATGAACTATGGTGCATGGATTTGAGGGGAAAACTTTTGCCACAACTTAAAATATTAAATCATTTCCTCCTTACAATTGGAGCATTTAAAAAAATTGAATTTGGATGCTACATGGATAAGGAGAAAAAGGTGTATTAAATATGAAGTATGAACCCAAAAAAATATAATGACTTTTCTAATGTAGGACTTAAATTTTTTTATTCCATAAATAAGACTTAATAATGACCTAGTGGAAGGAATAATGTCCAGCAATGATACACATTTAGTTGAATAATGACTTCGTGATAATGACCAAAGGTCCTACATTGGGAAATAAAAACATATGGTCCTATGTTGGTAAAGTCATTATGTTTTAGTCCTATTTAGGTAAATTTCTCAAAAAAAATTGCTATAAACCAATAACAAATTTTCTCTCTCCATAAGCATAATATTTCTCTCACTCAAATAGCTCTGGTGCTACCGTGGTTTGGAAAATTGGCACCAATACCTACCATGTTTTCAAAACTTATTTTTAAAGTCTTCGTGGTTTCAAAACGTTGCACCCACATCCCTCTGATCATTTTCCGGCTCTTTTCCAGCGAAGAGTAGGCATTGACGCATAATTTCTAAACCATAGAGGGCATTGGTGCTCATTTCTTATTTTCGTTTATTTTTGTGTTTTCCTTTTTTTTAAATATTTTCTATCTTTTTTCCTTTTCCTAGAATTTTTTTAAAAAAATATATATTTTCAATTTTTATAATGTTTTAAAAATTTAAAATTCTTTGTGTTTGATATAAAAATAAAAAAAATTAGCATACATTTCATCTATCTCAAATTAAATATTTTCATTTTTTGTTACTTAAAATAATTTTTTGAAAAGTTAAAAAAACCAGAAATAAAAAAATAAATTATGGATAAATGAAATGAAAAAATTAAAATAAAATCTAATACAAAAAAAATTTAACGAGCCTAAAAAAGTCCTTAGAATTGAGATGTCCAAAAAGGATATTCATGTTTATTTTTGTATTGATTTGTTTCTTATTTTATTCGTCGTTTTTTTGAAGTTTTCAAAAAAATTACTTTTTTTTTAAAAAAAATTGTTAATTTGATACGTACATATGCATTATATGTTAATTTTTCAAACAAAAATAACTTTAAATTTTAAGAACATTATATAAGTAATTTAAAAAAACCTTTATTAATAAATGAAACAAAAAGGGGAAAATGGAAAAACAAAAAAATAAGCCTGAAATAAAAATCAGCACTCCCTGTGGTTTTAAAATATGCATCAATGCCCCCTTATTCGCTGGAAAAATATCCGAAAAATGACTACAGGAGCACGAGTATAGCATTTTGAAACCACAAGATTTTTAGAAATAAATTTTGAAAACAGAGAAGGTATTGGTGCATGTTTTGTAAACCACTAGGGGTACTGGTGCTTTTTGGCCTATTTCTCTCTCAACCATCTATCGTGTCTGGCCCTTCCCGTTTGACACATAAGCTATTCCCCTCCATATTCGTCCCCATTAGTGATGCTCTAAACCATGACATTCATGAATGACACCCCCAATTATAATTTTTTTACTTTTTCTATCTAAAGTTGATTATATTTTTTCTCATCACGTGTTGATAACTTTTACTTATTTGTATTTTTCATTGATTATTTAATAAAATAAAATATCCATATTACCTCTTATTTAAGAATATTTTATATTATTAAATACTATTAAAAAACTTACGAATAAACAAAGGTTGTTGTTCATTTTAATTCAAAGTAGAAGATCATTTATGTTGCGTTATGAGTACATCAAGATTTGTATATTAATAGGTGTATCACAGACACACTGATGGGCCGTTACCTATCTGGCAACCCAACCTATGTGCCCAGGTGCGTTTTGGGACCCGCGAGCATTTAAAAGTTAGTTTCGGTTCGACCCAAGGCTTTAGGTCTGAGTCGACCCGAACCAAAGAGTCATTGGAGGTGCGCTTGCTGAGAAGGAGAACGTGGCTAGGTCGCGGAAATAGAGCCAAAGAAATAGGATCGCGCAAAGTCGAGAATTAGCTTCCATAATCAATAATTACCCCAATTATGTAAAAAGACATGTATAAATAGAAAGGATCGGAACAGGGATCCTCAAACTAAACTTAACATATAGTTTCATAATTCTCGATTTCTTGAATCAATATTATTTTTTATGATCCGTACATCAAGTCAGATCATTTGGTGGAATTCTTGTCCATCACACACATACAATTATTATTTTTGCAATATATTTAGAATTGTTATATGTGTGTGTAAGTGTGTTTATAATAGATTTGATGTATAACAATAATATACTCCCTCCGTCCATAATTAAACTTCCCACTTTCCTTTTTTATCCGTCCACAAATAAACTTTCCATTTCCTTTTTTGGAAACTTTTTTATGGTAAAAAGTCTTTAATACCCTCCCTACTCCTTATTCTTTTCTTCTTTCTCCGTTCTTTCTCCTGGTCTAGGGCAGCAACCACCCCCACTCTTCTTCTTCATTTCTTCTCTTTCTTTTCTTCTTCCTTGATTTTGTTTTGGATTTCTGTTTTTTCCCCTTTTCTTCTTCTTTCTTCTTTCCCCACTCTTCCTCCTCTTTTCCAATTCTTTTTCTCTCTTTTCTTTTCTCTCCCGTCCACCCCATCTTCTTCTTCTTCTTCTTCTTCTTCTTCTTCTTCTTTTTCTCTCTTTCTTTCTTTTCTTCTTCCTCCACCCTACAACGTCATCATTATACATAGATCGTCATCATTATACATAGATCTGATAAAGAGGTATCATATTTCTACAGATCTGATGACTCCAATATATAGATCTTAGACAAAGATGTTGGATTAGAAGTTGGGGACCCCAAGTTTCTTCCTTCTTCTTTTTGAAATTGAAGAAGTTGGCGGAGGTGACGGTGGAGCAGCAAAGCTGCCGGCGAAGGTCACACCGTAGAGCAGCGATGAGACGACGAGAGGTATCGGTGGAGCATCAAGGCAGCCTTCTGATACTATCCGGTTGCTTGTGCGTATTTTCTGGCAAGTAGGGAAGAGTGGGGGACCAAAGAAGTGAGGGGGTGGAGGGCATTTTGGGAAAATCAACTACATTTACACTTTTTCTTAATATGCGTGCCCGGTCAAACCGGAAAGTTTAATTTTGGACGGAGGGAGTAAGTGATACACAAATCTAGATATACACCCCCCTGCTTTATTCTTTTTACTACTCGGCAAGCACTAAATATATAGCCGTCAAGGCAAAATGAAGGAGGCAATATAAATATCACAACAATACTCAAAACTTCTAACCATTGGATTAGTTCACTATTTTCAGAGCAAAATGAAAGTGGGAGGTGTTGAGCTGGTCTTCATTCCCGCCCCTGGAATGGGCCACCTTTTCTCCGCCGTCGAAATGGCAAAGCTCCTCCTACACAAAAACCGCCGTGACGATCTCTCCATCTCCCTCTTGATCATGAGATCCCCTTTCGATTCCAAAGTTAACTCTTACGTCGAATCTCTTGCCACCGCCACAGACGACGGCCCATCGCCGTCCAGATTGAAGTTCGTGCTGCTCTCAGCTCCGGCCATGAATAGTGACCCCAAGAGGAAAAATCCTTTCCGTTCCTTGATCGATTCTCACAGGCAGAGCGTGAGAGATTGGATTAACGAATTCCGGACGAGTAGCTCCGGCCCCTCCTTCAAGCTCGGCGGCGTCGTTGTGGATATGTTTTGCGTGTCCATGATGGAAGTCGCCGACGAGTTCGGGATTCCGAGTTACGTGTACTACACCTCCGGCGCAGCCTTCCTCGGCCTCCACCTCCATCTCCAGAGCCTCAGAGACTGCTGCGGCGTGGACGTCACCGAGTTCAAAGATTCCGATCCAGATCTGAAAGTGCCCACTTACACTAAAACTTTTCCGGTGAAGCTTCTGCCGGGAGTAATTTTGGAAAAGGACGGAGGGTCGGACGTGTTTCTGGATGTTGGGAAGCTAATCAGAACGGCGAAGGGCATAATTGTAAACACATTCTTCGAGCTTGAGGAACACGCGCTCGAGACCTTGTCCAAAGAGGAATCGGAGCTCCCACCCTTGTACCCGGTGGGACCCGTTCTGAACCTGCAAAGCGATAAGATCGGAGAATCGGAAGAGATTTTCGGATGGCTCGACAACCAACCGGAATCCTCCGTTGTCTTCCTCTGCTTCGGAAGCGGCGGAAGTTTCCCGGAGCCGCAGGTGAAGGAGATCGCTCGCGCGCTCGAGCGCAGCGGCCACCGGTTCCTGTGGGCCCTGAGGCGTCCTCCGGCCAAAGGATCTTTCTACCCGGGAGACTACAGCAGCGTGGAGGAGGTCCTGCCGGAAGGATTCACGGAGAGGACAAAATCGACCGGGAAAGTGATCGGATGGGCGCCTCAGGCCGCCGTGCTGGCCCACGCATCAGTGGGGGGATTTGTGTCGCACTGCGGGTGGAATTCGACCCTGGAGAGCGTCTGGTTCGGGGTTCCAATGGCGACATGGCCGATTTACGCGGAGCAGCAGGCGAACGCGTTCGAAATCGTGACGGAGATCGGAACAGGAGTGGAACTCAAGATGGACTACAAAAAGCCAATGATGGGGGATCCAGATCAGTTCCCGGAAACGGTGGATGCGGAGACGATAGAAGCCGGGATCAGGAAGCTAATGGACGACGGCCCTGCTGCGGCGGCGGCAAGGAAGAAGGCTAAAGAAATGAAAGAGAAGAGCAGAAAGGCATTAGAGGAGGGCGGGTCGTCCTCTAAGTTTCTCCAAGCTTTCGTTGACCAAGTCTTTATCAACCAGTAACGAATCGAATGTACCAACACCAATGGCGTCCTCGTTATCTTTACCTTTCCATAACCCAAACCCAATTTGTCATTTCCACATGGTCCTTCAAAGGAATATTACCCCTTTCTATTATTTGAGAATAAATTTATTTTGAATCCAAATATTGTAACTCTTCAAAAAAAAATAATAAAATTTCCTCAGTACATAAATTATGCTTTTATTCCACTTATAAGATTTCTAATGTAATAATATGATTAGTAATATCTCTATTTATTTTATATTTATATGAAATTACGGAGTACAATTTATATCTCTTTATGTAAAATACGGTCAAAATTTAAAAAGTTTGATCAAAGTCAAAATTTTAAAAGTTTGACGAAAGCCAAAATGAGAAATTATTTTGTAGACGGAGGGAATAATATTAATACTCCGTACAAAAAGTTACTCCTTCCGTCCGAAAATATTCTTCCCATTTGACTTTTCTTGGTCAAAGTTTGTAAACTTTGACTAAGATATGTGGAAAAAATACATTGTATAGCTATTGATATAAGTCAAAGTCAAACATGATCTTTTATTAAAGCATTCTTAACCAAATTATTATTCCATCACCGTAAACCTTATGTTGTTATTTTATGAGTGAAAGCAAAAATAAAATTAAAAGTATTAATATTTATGAGAGTGTTAGTCTTTTACTCCCTCCATCCTAAAAAAGTCGCATGTTGTTGTTAACGAGGCTTCACTTAAGTTACTTTTCAATTCAATATATTTGAAAGTTGGTAAGAAACTAAAAACTAAAATTTATATATTTGAAAACTAGATTAAAAGATCGACAAAATAAGATGTGAAAAGACTATAACATTTTCTCAAATAGGTCGCGAAAATGGGTTAAGGAACAGGGGAAGCGTGAAGAATAAATGTGGCAGCGTCTGCAGTTCTTGTCATAACAGGACGGAGGTGAAGTGGCGGCAATGATTAGAGTTGAGGGAAAGCATGTGTAACCGCTCGTTCCACAATCAAAGGTCGTGAAAAGACATGATGGCTACGACGCATTTTCCAATGACAATACTCAAGTGTCATCGAACATCAACACACATGACAAATCTTGGGAGGACGGTCGTGCAAGAGTCATCTACTCCTCATCCCTCAAATAGCCCTTTAAGGCTTGAGGAGTAGAAAGCTGATGATGGGCCATTGGGCCGCGTGGTCGAGGCTCGGCCCTAACACCGGCGAAGCACCCAGGTAGAGCCTTGAGGGAGGAAAAGACCAAAATCTAGATGCCGAGTACTTTCGCACATCATTGTCTACAAGCAAACAATTGGTGGACCTTCAGCCAGGGCTGACCATGCATAAGGAAAAAGTCCTTCACTCTTTTTGGGATTGACCACGTCAGGTCACTGATTGGGCGGGATAGCTTTGCCGAGCGTCGATAGCGAAGGAAGAGTGGGAAATAATGGGACTTACCATCATTATAACTTTCCGTGTATAATCTCTCATGACACACATTGTATCTCTCAAGCTAAATACACCCAATACACTCGTGTTTCCTTATCGTTCCCTCGAGCTTTATTCTTGAATTGTTCTGTTCTTTTAGTCTATATTCAATCCGGATCCTCAAGTCAGATTCTTGATGGAATTTATTTCTATCACTCTCTAAGTTTCTTAAATAATTTCCCCCTCAAAATCACCCAAATGGCTTCCAACACTATTCAATTCTACTCCCACTCAGATCCTAGCATCATTGGCGGAAGAATCCCTCATGCCCGGTTATTGCCTCATGAGCTTGAGGTTCTTTTTGCTCATCAAATTAAAGCTGGATTGATTTCCTTCAAACTTCAGCTCCTGTTTACCTCGACCTTGTTCACCATTTCTACAACAACGCAAAGCTTACCACACTAGACAAACTTCTTACCCTCAAGGCTTCTATAAATGGCACATTCATTTATCTCCCTACATCTACATTGACATCAATCTTTCGTCTTCGTATATCTAGCTAGACCATGTATGTTAAGAAGGGATGGATAACGAACTCAGAAGGGCTCTCTACTATTGATTGCCTTCGTTACCTCAACAAAGTCCCCATTAAAGAGCAATCTCATTTGGATGATACCTGATGGGTGTATTCCTCCCAGAACTGGTCAAAGGAGACGCTCAAATATTCGACCGGTCAAAGTTGATTTTTGGAATGGGAAGCCTAAAACAACATTAAGAGGGTAATAGGTTGACCAAAAAGTTGACCGATACACTTCAGAAAAGTCTACCGGTCAAATTACTTTATTCCCTCATTCGTTCCCAATTTCAAATAACCCATCACTTGGGAATCTACTCGGTATGATTTCTAGGGTTGGAAAGTGTCGACAAAAAAATCCAAAGGAAATGGACTGTAGCGGCCAAATTCGACGAAGGATCATTAAAGATATTTGAGCAATCCGTCCAAAGCACTACGTGACAAGGAAGTCACCTTCCTAACTAGATGACAAGGCCACTAGAGGACAACGGCAATCACCTCGCACCACCCAGGAACGTGTCCTGACATGGATGTGTGACGCCTTGTCTCCTCTAACTCATTATAAATACCTGTGTAACCCTCAAAGGAAGAGATCCAATTTCTTCTCACTAAAACTCTCGTGTAAAAGCTCTCTTGCACTTTACTATATTCGAATGAAAATTGGGCTACAAGTGTTTCCACCTACAGTCCTCCCAGTTACTTTGTGTGTTTTTACCTTTTATGATCTTGAATCCAGTAAACAATTCTAGACCCGTTATAGCACTGTTTACCCGGTTAGGTAATTTACACCATCAATACCCTATCTCAAATTTTTCCAATTCATTTTATTTAAAAATTGGTATACAAATAAAAAATAAAATTTACCTATTTAAAAAGCTCATAAAAGTTGATCAAATTAAGAAGTGACTAGAATATTTTATTTCATCAAATAGTCAATGAAAACATACAAAAAATAAAAAAAATACTCAATTTTTGAACATTAAAGTATGTAAATCATTTTAGCACAGGTGAAGTAAATTTTTTTGAGAAATCACAATGGTAACTATTTACCCCGAGTAATTTATTTTGTGAGGGAGGAGTTTGTGATATTAAAAAAATGAGACAAAATTACAAAAGAAGAACAACAAGTCTTTAGTCTTGAGTATTGACTCTTGTAGTCTTGTGGAATCAATAATACTGCCAGGTAGGTAAAAACTCATATCCCAAAATATTAGCAGGACTTGCTTTTTCAACTGCCGCGAGTTTACTTTACGTTTTCATTGGTTATTTGATAAAATAAAATATTTTTGACACTTCTTATTTCGAAGAACTTTTCATGTAGTTTTTTGATATGTAAATTTATTTTTTATTTTTATACTAATATGTAAATAAAATGAATTGAAAAAACTTGACATTTTATCTTGAAAATACAAGTGTGACAAAAAAGTATAGTAATTTGCACATGTACACTGTCACATTACCACAATGCAAAGTCACATTACCACAGTGCAAAGTCATATTCCGAAAAAAAAACATGAAAGTCTTATTTTAGTACTTTTCTCTATGTTTTAATCCTATTTAGGATGATTTCTAAGATGTGGGCGGTCCCACCATACCACTTACACCCAAGCAATGACATCAAACTAATGCCACCCTCGCAAAAACAAAAGAAAAGGAGGCAAAATGGGAAAAATACATATTCCAGGTATTTTAAATGTAGAAAGTATCTTCTTTTCTCGTAAAAAAGGAGTGATGCTACATATTCCCAAGGAGATCCATATTTAAAATTGTGGTAACAATCTTGCACCAAATATTTGGTGTAAGATTATCCTTCCTCATAAGATTACCTTTGGGCAAGAGTGACTATCCAATTTGATTTTTGTTTATGGTAAAATGAGACGAACTATTATCACTAGTTAAGTAAAAATTATGTTAAATAGTAGTAGAAAAATGATTTAATTATATTTATTTTGTAATACATCTTTAAAAAATGATTTTATTTTATTATTACTTTTGCCCCAATAAGGAATTTATTTGATGTAGTTTCGATTTCTTCTTTCGTCACGAAGTTTTCTTCATTGAATTGGTTTTTTGCAAGTTTTTATTGATTATTCATAAAATATTATATTCATGTCACATCTTATTTTATAAACCTTTTGACAATATATAAATTTTATTTTTTACTCCGTAATTTTTGTTCTAATTTTCATTTAAATCAATTGAATAAAAATTCTGTAAAAAATTGTAATCCACAAGAAACATCTTTTTAAGGCGGTGAGTATCGTACCTTCATTACCTCAACAAAATCCCCATTAAAGATCAATCACATTTGGATGACACTCTATCTCAAATTTTTTCAATTTATTTTATTTAAAGATTGATATATAAATAAAAAGTAAAACGTGCACATTTAAAAAACTCATCAAAAGTTCTTCAAATTAACAGGTGACAAAAATATTTTATTCCATCGAATAGTCAATGAATAAATACAAGTTTGCTTAATTTTTAAATAATAAAGTATATAAATCATTTAGACACGGAGTAAATAAATTTATCAAGAAATCACAATGGTAACTATGTACTCGGAGTAATTTATTTTGTGAGGGAGGAGTATGTGAATTTTTAAAAAAATACTCCGTATGAGACAAAATTGCAAAAGAAGGATAACAAGTCTTTACTCTTCTGGAAGCAATAATTCTGCCAGGTATGTGAAAACTCATATGGAGTCCGATGGATTGAAAATGCGCAGGGGGGGGGGTAGGGGGGTCCCACCACACCACTTACACCCAAGGAATGACATCAAACTAATTTCGCCCTCCCAAAAACAAAAACAAAAAAAAAAAAAAAAGAGGAGACAAATTGTTCCATCCCCTTAAGGTCAATGCCTATTTCACAAAGGATTATGCTATGTGTACCCTAAGATTTGTATCCCAATTTGTACCCCGCAGTTTTGCACCAACACTTTGTGTTGGTGTAAAACTAATTTTTATTAAACGCACCAACATTTGTGTCCGTGTGAATTTTTATTAACGCACCAACACTTGTGCCGGTGTAAACCATCAAAATGTTTGTGCAAACCTGTGGTGTACAAATAGGGTATATTTTTTTGTGTAAGTGTAGCATGGTCCATTTCACAAATGTTAGTGCATTTATAACATAAAAGAAATAGCCTTTACCAAAGAAAAAAAATGTCTACATACACGTCCATAAAAAATCTCAAAATATCTATTTTCTCTATCCCATTCTAATTACATTGTTTCTCTCTCATCTCGATAAGTTTTACTTCGTATTTATTTACGCGATTTCATTTAGTATTTGATAAAATAAAATATTTTTGTCTTTCTTTTATTCTGTAGAATTTTTGACATAGTTTTTTAATATATAATATTTTTTTCTTATTAATATACTGATTTTTAAATAAATCATAAACCCAAATTTTTAATCAAATTAGGGACAGATGAGGTATATTTTAAATATGGAACTTATAACTATGTAACCATCACCCCTCCTCGCAAAAAAGAATGATGCTACATGATTCCAAGGGGACCCAAAGTCCATATACACCAAATATTTGGACAAGTGTGACTATTCAATTTGATTTTTTTTTACAGTAAAATGAGACGAATTATAATTACTAGTTAAAAAAATTATGTTAAATAGTAGTAGAAAAATGATATAATTAGATTTATTTTGTACTCTGTAATACATTTTTTAGAAATGATTTTATTTTATCACTACCTTCGCCCCAATAAGAAATTTTCTTCATTGGTCTTTTTACACGTTTTTATTGATTATTTGATTAAATATAATATTTATGTCATATTTCATTTTATAAAACTTTTGACATAGAAATTAAAGGATTTTTAAAGAAAATAAGTGAATGATAATTTTTGAATAAAGGAAGTATATAAATTTTGTTTTTTACTCCGTAATTTTTGTTCTAATTTTCATATAAATTAATTGAATAAAAATTCAGTAAAACATTGTATCCACAAGAAACATCTTTTTAAGGCTGTGAGTATAATACCTTAGAGAGTTGGAGTACATAATACACCTAGGGGAGCATTAGTCATTTAATTAATGAATAAATTACATCTAATTTGATTGCAAAAATTAAATTTATAAACAAAAAGAATTATTCAATAATTTATTTTATAAACTTTATTTTTTTACATACAAATATTAAATAAACTATTTTTTTAGGAATGGTTAAATTCAATTCAAAAATAGTCGAATGATGTACCCTCAGTCCCTCACCAATCACTATATATAGCCGTCAAGGCAGGGGGACGAAAGACACCATAGATAGAACAACCCATCACACTTCTCTAATCATTGGATTAGCGTAAGATTTTGGTTCAACAATTTTCAATCAAAATGAAGCAAGGTGTTGATCTGGTCTTCATTCCCGCCCCTGGAATGGGCCACCTTGTCTCCGCCGTCGAAATGGCTAAGCTCTTCTTACAGAAAAGCCGCCGTGATGACCTCTCCGTCTCCGTCTTGATCATGAGATCCCCCTCCGACTCCAAGGTCAGCTCTTACGTCGATTCTCTTCCCGCCGACGGCCCCTCTTCCGGATTGAAATTCGTGCCGCTCTCTGCTCCGGCGATGAATGGGCAGGTTCACCGGAGCACCCTGTTCCGTTCCTTAATCGAGTCTCACAAGCAGAGCGTGAGAGATTGGGTTCGCGAATTCCGGGCGAATAATTCCGGCACCTCCAGGCTCGCCGGCGTCGTTGTTGACATGTTCTGTGTTTCCATGATGGACGTCGCCGACGAGTTCGGGATCCCCGCTTACGTGTACTTCACCTCCGGCGCCGCCGTCCTCGGCCTCCAACTCCATCTCCAGAGCCTCAGAGACAACTGCGGCATAGACGTCACGGGCTTCAAAGATTCCGATCCAGACCTGAAAGTGCCGACTTATTCTAAAAATTTTCCGGTCAGGCTTCTGCCCGGACATATATTGGACAAGGCCGGCGGGGGGTCCGACATGATTTTGGATATTGGGAAACAAATCCGAGCGGCGAAGGGCATAATCGTCAACACATTCTTCGAGCTTGAGGAACACGCGCTTGGGTCGTTGTCCAAAAAGGAAGCGGAGCTCCCACCCCTGTACCCGGTGGGACCCGTTCTGAACCTGCAAAGCGATAAGATCGGAGAATCGGAAGAGATATTGAAATGGCTCGACAACCAACCGGAATCCTCCGTCGTCTTCCTCTGCTTCGGAAGCGGCGGAAGTTTCCCGGAGCCGCAGGTGAAGGAGATCGCTCGCGCGCTCGAGCGCAGCGGCCACCGGTTCTTGTGGGCCTTGAGGCGTCCCCCGGCCAAAGGATCTTTCTACCCTGGAGAGTACAGCAGCCCGGAAGAGGTCCTGCCGGAAGGGTTCACGGAGAGGACAAAATCGACCGGGAAAGTGATCGGATGGGCGCCTCAGGCCGCCGTGCTGGCCCACCCCGCCGTGGGGGGATTTGTGTCACACTGCGGCTGGAATTCAACCCTGGAGAGCGTCTGGTTCGGGGTTCCAATGGCGACATGGCCGATTTACGCGGAGCAGCAGGCGAACGCATTCCAAACTGTGACGGAGATGGGAACGGGAGTGGAGCTTAAGATGGACTACAGGAAATCAATCATGGCGGATCCCGACCAGTTCCCGGAAACGGTGGATGCGCACACGATAGAAGCAGGGATCAGGAAGCTTATGGACGACGGCCCTGCAGCGGCGGCGATAAGGAAGAAGGCTGGAGAAATGAAAGAGAAGAGCAGAAAGGCATTAGAGGAAGGCGGGTCATCCTTTAAATTTCTCCAAGCTTTCTTTGATCAAGTCTTTTAAGTTTTAACAACTGAAATGAAGCAGTTGTAACGAACTGCTAAGTCCGCCGTTGCCGTCTTTCTATTACTAACCGCACGTTTGTCGTTTCCGCATCAGTCAATTTTACTTGTGGACAAGTGATTTGTGATTGGAATAATAAATACTTTCTCTTTTTCCAAATTTCTCAAAATGTTTAACCTTTTAGTATTTTCGATAAATCAGTTGCTTAGCAACATTCACTTTTTTCGTGCAATAGATTAGTTGTTTTACGGGAATTTGTTTTGTTACTCGCCTTTCCAAGCTCTGAAATGGTTTCACAAATTACTCCAAGCAACACATTTCTACATTATGTCGTAAGTACGACTAAGACTTGACTATGCCCAGACTGATAGACATAATGTAGAAGTGCGTTGTTATTAGTCGATGCCCGCGCTCAACAATATTTCATGTAGGTTGACGGTTCGTTTTGTTTTGCCCAAGTCTTCTCGTCTTCTTGGCTCCTAGTAAACGCATTGGGGTATAGCCACAGTAGTGATTGCTTTGATCAAAATGTTATCGACAGTTTCCTTACTCTTCGTAGGAAGAAATTCTTCGGCATGCGATCTCATCCACAATTTTAAACTGTAAGGAATAAGAAAAAACCCAGAATAATTTAAAAAAAAACTAGAACAAACAAAAAACAAGAAAAAATCTTTTAAAATTTATTTAAGTTAATTTACATAGCATTATTATAAATGTGATTATTATTATCATTATTATTAATTAGTATTAGTATTATTATTGTTATAACATTCATAATAGGTAAAGAAAGTGAATAAATTTCGATTACATGAATAAAGTACATGTTACTTAATTAGCAGTACAGAGAATAGTATAATTATTATTTTTAATTTAGATTTTTGACGTTTTTCTCAATTCAATTTAGATTAATACAATATACTTCCTCTGTCCCTAATTATTTGTCCATTTTTTATTTTTTTTGGTAAAAATTGGTAAATTTTGACCTCAAATTAAACAAAAATGGTATTAGAAATTTATACAAAAGTATTTTTATTATATTTATAAACTATATCTATAATAATTATAGTAATACATGAAAAATATAATATTTTTAAAGTCGATTTTTGGGAGTGGGAAAGATTGAAGAAAATGAGAATAATTAGAAATATTAGAAGAAAATGGAAAAATTGAAAGAAACTGGAAAAACTAGAAGAAATTAGAAAAAATTAAAAAAATTAGAAGTCAAAAAATTTAGCTCTAAACAAGATGCCCTGACAAGAATTACAAATTATACAAAAAAAAAGGATTACAAATAATAATTACAGAGTAATATTCCTTTTTAGTACTATTAACTCTATTCGAGGAGAAGTTCACGGAATAATATTCTAGTAACCCTTAAATGACAAAGTAATTACGGAGTAGAACATATCATGGGGGAAGCTCACGGAAATGACGGAATGAACCTCTCACTAAAATAAATATTTTCTTATTACTTAAATAAATATCTTTTTTTAATAAAAAAATAAAAAAGATCTATCAAAGATTTTGCCTATTTTTTAAAAGAATAAATCAAGGGATATACTAAAATAGAATACGCCATTTGTACACAATGTAAACACAGTCATTTAATATGCTTGATCACATAGAATACCGAATTTTGGTGTACCACCCATTACCTATGTGGTTGAACATTCCAAAGCCACCAATAATTTGGAGTATATAATTAGGAAAACATAAACTGCAGCGTGTGTAAATTCAGGATTGATATAAAAAGGGTCCCACAACACAAGTTGCATACGGAGTAATGATTTAGGGTCCCCTACTTTTCATTTATTTTCACCACTTACTCAATACTTATTTTTATTAAAATCAAATTATATTATGTCTAATTAAATTAAATTTTTTAGATTAAATTAAATAAATCTAAAGTATATTAGAAAATAATGCTAATATTTTTTATATTATTAGATAATAATTAATATATGATTAATTTGTGTTGCGTCATTTAGTGCTGCATTTAGTTTAAGTACTACTATCATTTTATATAGAATTGAGTAATAATAATATTTTTACGTACGATTAAGTAATACTTTATTATTATTATTATTATTATTATTATTATTATTATTATTATATTTATAGTACTCTATTTGTTACTAAAATGTTGTCCACTTTCAAATATGTACAAAATTGAATCACTTTTATTATTATTTAAAATATAAAAATATACAAATATAAAAATAAAGAGTACTCCCTCCGTCCCACTATATTTGTCCACTTTCATTTTTGCACACCATCCAATATACTTCTTTAATCCATTTTACCTTGTAATTTGTATATTAAAAAATTATAGAAATTATATATTAATAATCTATATGTTAAGAAAAATCAAACAAGATCACACATGACTATATTTAGACTTACACATTGAGAGAATTTGATGAGTCAAAGTGCTTAGATGAACAGTTCCAAAAATCAAAAGTGGACGAATATAGCGGGACGGAGGTAGTATAATTTATATGCTCAAAAACTGTGTAAAAAAGTCTCCTATCACATGTAGTTGTCTATCTACTACGTATTTGATTTTATCAATTACTCTATGTGTCTTAGAATTATTTTTCAAATTTCTCTTAGCACGGTGATTTTTAAGTGGTTGTAGTTTGTAAAGAGGAAAGTGAATTGATATGATCTTTATAAAAATATTTCTAAAATCTCAAGTGAGAGATTGAAAAAAAGAGCAATGCTAGGGGTACACCAAAGGTGTACCCCAAATGTACACCACTCCCTTCTCTATCATTCATTTTTATTTTATTTTTATTTATTTATTTTTTTTTTGAATTTCTTGCCTTTTTTGTGGACAAAGAGAAAGTGGGGGACAAGAGGAGGTAGAAAAAAAGTGATTTCACTTAAATGTTCAATGAAGATTGACATTGCGAAATCTTATGACTTTGTCACTTGGAAGACTCTTTTCCAAAGACTTGTTGAAATTTCCTCAACAACTCATTTCTCTTACACTATGCTTGGTTCAAGGAATTTGAAAAGGAAAGAAAAAGAAAATGAAGTGAAAAACCATTTTTCTTGTTTGGTTAGAGTGGAAAAGAAAGAAAAAGTGGAAGGAAAAGAGAATGAGGAGGCAAAATGTACAAGTGGAGAGAAAACCAAATTCCTTCCATTTTGGTGAGGAAAATGAGAGAAAATCATTTTCTTTTCTTTTCTTTCCAAAATCCTTAAGCCAAATATAGTGTTAAAGGAATGATGAAGGAAATTTCCTCTAATAATATAGTACATTTTTATATGTTCTAAGAGTGGGAAGAACAATAATTTTAGTAATTATACTTTTCGTCATGTAAAAAATTACATATCGATTACATTTTTTCACAAAAATATTAAAAATGTATGAAATCATAAGAATATTAAAAAGTGGTTAAAATCTTTTTAAATGGAAGCGAAATATACTCGATTATATATCATAGTATCTAAATTTTCTAATACTTAGTTATTGTCAACCATTTCTTTTTCTAGATATTCACTATATTACTCATTTTTTTCTTTCATATAACACATAAATATATAATAATAATAATGGTGATAATATTATGACCTAGGAGGCCAGGATCCTTATGATATCCGCTCGTAAAATTAATAATTCATACCATCCTTCCACAATCGCCCTAAATCCTACCTCCCCTCCTACCTTTTACTCCGTATAATACTACGAACTATTTCTAATGTTTTTTAATAAATATTTTGTTGCTAACTAATATTAATACTAACTTTAATTTATTTGAAAATTGATATGCAACTAAATAATAAAATTTACATATCAAAAAACTAGATAAAAAATTCTACAAATAAGAAGTAAAATGACTATATTATCTTCTCAGATAAGTAATGAAACAATAAATAAAGAATATGATAAAAATTTGATTATAAAAATAATAAACAACACCCTAAATAAGGATGGAAATAGATATGGAGCATATGATAACACAACACATAAAACAAATACTCCAATCTCCAAATTTAAAATACTCCATACATTTTTTTTTCATAATATAAGACGATATATAACTCTCAATAAGTCTCGCTATTAAGCTTATTAGAATCATTGGATTAGGATTACCAAAGCAAGATGGAAGGTGTGGAGGTGGTCTTCATACCGTCCCCTGTAATGGGCCACATCGCCTCCACCGTCGAAATGGCAAAGCTCCTCCTACAGAAACGCCGCCGCCGTGACGATCTCTCCATCTCCGTCTTGATCATGAAATCCCCCTCCGACTCCAAAGTCACCTCTTACGTCGAATCTCTTCTCGCCGCCGGCCCCTCTTCTAGATTGAAGTTCGTGCCACTCTCAGCTCTGGCGATGACTGAACCCACCAAAAAGAACACCTTCTCCCTTTCCTTGTTCGAATCTCACAAGCAGAGCGCCAGAGATTGGTTTAAAGAAGTCCAGACGAGTGGTTCCGGCAAGCTCGCCGCCGCCGTTGTGGATAGTTTCTGCCTGACCATGATGGACGTCGCCGGCGAGTTCGGGATTCCGTGTTACGCGTACTACACCTCCGGCGCCGCCTTCCTCGGCCTCCAGCTCCACCTGCAGAGCCTCAGAGACAACTGCGGCATAGACGTCACGGAGCTCAAAGATTCAGATCCGGATCTGAAAGTGTGCACTTATTCTAAAACTTTTCCGGTAAAGCTTCTGCCGAGAATTATATTTGACAAGGCCGGCGGGGGATCGGACATGATTTTGGATATCGGGAAACTAATCCGAACGGCGAAGGGCATAATTGTGAACACGTTCTCCGACCTTGAGGAACACGCGCTAGACTCATTGTCTAAACAGGAGACGGAGCTCCCGCCCCGGTACCCGGTGGGACCCGTTCTGAACCTGCAAAGCAATAAGATCGGAGAATCCGGTGAGATTTTCAACTGGCTGGACAACCAACCGGAATCCTCCGTCGTCTTCCTCTGCTTCGGAAGCGGCGGAAGCTTCCCGGAGCCGCAGGTCAAGGAGATCGCTAACGCGCTCGAGCGCAGCGGCCACCGGTTCCTGTGGGCCTTGAGGCGTCCTCCTTCCGATGGATCTTTCTTCCCGGTAGACTACAGCAGCCCGGAGGAGGTTCTGCCGGAAGGATTCACGGAGAGGACAAAATCGACCGGGAAAGTGATCGGATGGGC